CGGGTCGGGGCAGGTCGACCCAATGGGTATGCAATTTATATTAAAAACATTAGCTGCCTGTGAAGGACGATGTCGTTGCAGGCCGCTGATCGCATTCACATCTATAAATACCGCATTATATTCTTTCCCTTGGGACAACTCACTTCATAAACGTACAACAAACACACCAGAGAGCACATTCGGCAAGAAGGATGAGGAATGGACCTGGCCGGCGGCGGCGATGCCGGCTTGTTTCCCTTTACAAGTACATTCGGCAAGAAGGATGAATGAGTGGACTCGACGGGCGGCGATGTTGGTGTATTTTTCCCTTTTTGGCAAGATCGGGTAAAAGCAAACCAGTAACAATGCCGGCAAGAGCAGTCAAGTTAAAAAAGTTTGAAATATGGCGTGTTCCTACATACATATGCAGTGATTTGTGTATTCTTCTTTTATTTCGCGAAAAAAAGTTATTTTCAAGCATAATGGAAATAACACATATATAGTAAGTGATAAGAACTTAAGCATGTCGTGGACACCCGCTTCAGCATGTGACTGTAATTTCCTTTTTGTGATGTGGTTGTGTGGCTTTTCTGCTGTAACGTCGGGTTATTAAAACCACTATAAGAATAATAATAAAAATTTACTTGTGTGTACTATTTACTAAATTTTCTGCTTCAGTTGAATTTATAATCCCGTTTGGGTAATACCAGTACTACAACGGCCGAACTATCAAGAAAAAGTTGTCACTTGTGTCATATTTTATTCAATATTTTAATTTTATATTTCGAACTATTTTTCCGTTAAAGTTGACCATTAGTAGTTAACAGAAAATCTAGACCGCCAACCAATATGTCTACTTGCGGAGTCAAAGCCGACGACTTTGTTCCTGTAAGCCGACCGATAAATGATTGTATAATAAATAGATATATTGAAAAAGATTTGTTGAGAGTGGTACATACTGAGTGTATAGTAGTCATTAATTGATAAGATGGGTAGATAATAATTTATTTATATATTTATTAGCATGGACAAGACGAGTGAGTGGACAAGCAGGCAGCCTTCAATATTCCCACCAGCAGGAGATAAATGAAAGAAGCTGGGCTAGGCACAGTCCTAATTTTGGTTGGCTCATTGAAGGTCGGCTTATAATGCTATGCTTTCTTTGGACCCTTTTCTTTAATGTCATCATCAGCTCTCTTGTCATTAATTTTAGATATTCGTTATCTGTTTCTAGATCAAATCCGTAACTATTACTTCTCACCCACCAAATCTTAATAATTTTGCCAAATAATGGCAAAGAGGACATTATATTTCAACGCTCTTCTGTTATCATTCCACAGGTCAGCCACAGGGCCAATGATGTGCTTAGCAAAGTCGTGATTCTCATGTGCAACGCGGCAGGGCGCGTGGATCGTGCGAGTGGGCAGTGACCTAGCGAGCAGCTTCCATGACGTTGCATGCATGGCAATTGCACCACGTATTTCGATCATCAGCATATATGTCAGCAAGTACTTTTTTTTTACCGTAGAATTCACTTTCATTCCACCAACTATAGCAGACAAACAAAAGTTAGATTTTTTCAGAGTAAATAAAAAATTAGAGCTCGAATACTAATTCAATTGTTTGTCTAGGAGTGTCGATTGTGTCATCGAACGAGCGACATAATCCGTTCTAGAATTGTACTCTCTAGCCATAGGAGGAGGCTGCCATGATGGGGCATTTTTCTTAGACATGATAAATTTTGGAAGGAACAAAAATACTCCGTCTATGTTTATATTAAGGATGCTTAGTCAGTGCCAAATCAGCAGCTAATGACCCAATTTAACGGAACTTTAACGGTCTAGTAACAGTAGGGGGCTAAATTACACGTTTGATCACTCAAATTATATTAAATCTTTCACATTTGCCACCCGAATTAATTTTCTTTCTTATTCACCACTAACTTTACGAATCGTTTATTAATCGTTAGTCACTTGTCGTTAGTCTCCATTAGTTTTGAGATGACGTGGCAAATGGAATTGCTGACTGGACCACTAACTTAATGACACATCAATTTAAAAAATAATTAAAAAAAAGGAGACAAGAGTCTCCCCTGCAACCAAAAGAAAGAAATATAAACAATCAACTACTGCCACAGTTGGAAAAGGGGAAACTGGACGAGGGCCTCACCGGCCTGCCGTTACTTTCAGAGCGCAATCAACTACTGCCACAGCCGGCCGGGGAGTCTCTCATCGGGATATGAAGCTGGAGAATCTGACATTGGACGAGAATGGGAAACTCAAGGTCTCTGATTTCGGACTCTCTGCTCTCCCGGGTCGGATCTGGAACGACGGGTTAGTGTCGGAGGATCCGACCGCCGTAGCTGCACAGGAACTTGACCGACGCCATTGATGCTGTTTTCGGGGGGAGAGGGGGGGATTTACTCCGAGTAGTGTGATTTTGCAGTGAAAAGGAAGTTCACAGCCGTGGCCACTCCGATATCCGATCCAGTGTTGATTAATTATTATTTTTTAAATTGACATGTCATTAAGTTAACGGTCCAGTTAACAGTTCTGTTTGCCACGTCATCAAAAAGCTGACGGAATCTGACGGTCGGTGACTAACGGTGAAACGATTCGTAAAGTTAGTGGCGGATAAGAAAGAAAAGTAATTTGAGTGGCAAACGTGAAAGATTTATGTAATTTGAGTGACTAAACGTGTAATTTAGCCAACCGTAGGGATTTCATTAGGAAAATTTTGATAAATCAAGGGCTACCAAATGAAAAATAATAGTTCAGGGACTTCAATAGAAAACACCTAATAGTTTAGGGGCCACATAGTCATTTAACTCTTATTATTATTATTGATTATTGGGGAAGAAAACTACGTGACTGTAAAATAGTATCAGAGGTTGTATTCGAAAGTTAGTGTTTGTCAAATTGTATCGTATCCGCGGTTACATCGAATAACCTCATACCGGATTCTAAATAGGTAGGTGAATTTTTAGCGATAAAAAATGGTTGAACTATGATTTCAACATAAATATCTTGTTCATTAACTTTTCCAACACAACCTTATATTAAATGTTTTTTTTTCCTAAAATCGTGATCGAACCATTTAATACTGCTAAAACTATCTACAAGGTTAGACTATAATAAACAATTTGTTCTGGTCGAAGCGCTAGCACAATACGATTTTTTTGCAAACACAGACTAATTTTGGAAGGGCTAAAGAGCAACGGAGACATAATGTCTGGGCCTATCAGCTCAACATTAATTGTAATGGATCGTGCTTGATCTTATCGAGTTTCAGGCCCATCATGAGTTCATGACGAACGATTCGGCACACGTTTTGTGAGGTACCCATCTGCATAGTCAACACGAACGATTCGAGACACATTTTGAGAGGTACCATTACACAAGAGGTTCAAGTGCTCTGAACATCTCTCCAATGGGTCCCGTTTCATTTCGCACCACATAGGTATATATGGCTGCCCATATCGTGCCAAACAAGCCATCTAATTGTTGGTTCAGCGTCTCGTTGACCAACGTCCCTTCTTTTTTCCTTTTGACTTTGGCCTCTTATGATCCTGTAGTATTCGTATCTGGCTTATTCCATTCGAAATATCTATGGAAAAAAAAGCAATGGAAGAAAGAGTGTTTTTGGTTCGGTTATTTTATAACTTTTTTTGTCGGTTAACTAACTTAACCTAGACTCTACCGACACAAATCCTATGCGTTTCAGTTATTACTGACCACCGAAACCGGCGGCGATGTCGGCTTCTATTTCGCGCCTCACAAGAACGCTAAAACCAGTGTCAATGCCAACCTCTTTCATGAGCCTAGCTATGCCTTTAGCAAGAATGCTGAGACAGTAAAAGTGCTCGACATGCTGAGACAGTAAAAGTGCTCGACAGCTGGCGGCGCTTCTTACGTATTTTGGAACATGGCTGTAATTTGAACGTGCTTTCTAGGATAAGTTCAAAAAGTACGGTAAGAAGTCAAGCCTATCGTCTAGGACTGGGAAAACATCCCAGTTTTCCGATTAAACCAAACCGTTTAAAATGGTCCAGTTGCAACCAGGAACCAAATTGCATCCAATCTGGTCCAGTCTCAAATCAGTATATTAGGGAGAAAAACCAACCAAGTCCAGTCCGGTTTGAAAAACCAGGAAAATCGGATAAACTTAAAACTGAAAATTGCCAACCGAAGCCCCTAGTCCCACAACCTCCAACCTCCCCTAGCCAGCCCAACGGATATCCCTACCCCTCCCAGCCCTAAATCTAATCCTACCTACGAATCAGTCATCACGCAACATAGGGGTGAGCATCGGTTCGGTTCAATCAAAACTACTTATTAAAATTCATACAAACTGTTTTTCAAAATTCAAGTTGGTAATTAGTGTAGCCGTTGATAATGGATCTCGTAAATCTAACAAGGATGCTAGGAACAAAAGAATAGTAGCGTTTGATTTCTTAATTAAATATTTAATCATTAATGGTGAATAGTCCTAAATACTTCTATGTAAAAATGGTGACGGATGAGTAAGGCAAATCGAAGCGTTTCATTCGATTTTATATTCAATCGTAAAAAAGCATTCAATTCATCCAAAACCATCCAAGTAATGGGTTGAACCACTACGGTAATTGATTGTCTGTTTTAGTGGTCTGGCCATGAATCCCGATCTTTAACAAAGGGATTGTCTAAATCTCACAACATTGATCAAAATCCATACATGTCAAATCTAAAAGCGAATAAACTCACGTCTGTCAACATGATTTTACCCATAGCGAATAATACCCGTTTTAACCTGGTTGAGTCAAATACAATACCAATGAATTTGAATACAATAGTCATCCCTAAACACCTAACCCAATCCAAGAATGCTCTCAATCATTGGTGTATACGTACTGACAGTTTCATAAACAACATTCAACGATTGAAATCGATGCTAAAGAAAGTTGCTTTTTTCTGTATAACTGTGTAAGTACAGACTGAGAGTAAAGAGAGGAAAAAGCAGCAGGGAGAGGGGGGAAATGAAGTCGCACAACTCTCCCTCTTTCACCTCTAAAGTCTAAACACAGACAAATACGTTACATATATTTACATTTGATTTCCAAACTCAAACAGAGCAACAAAATTCTTAGGTAGTGATAACTGAAAGTAAATATCTCCAGCTTCGATCTTGACGTATGAGCTCCTCGTCTTTCGGACAGACCAATAGGTCGCCGGAGAAGCCTTCTAATCAAATAGGTCTCCCTGACTGGTGGAGTCCTCTCCGTTGCCAGAAGAAGGGTCACCACCGGCGGCATTGAATGCCATTATAAGCTCCAGAAGCTCCCTATTAGCAGGTGACCTCTCCTCATTGTTGTTATCCAGATGACTACTTCTTTGGCGGCGTCCTTGAATAGAGAACAGCTCCAACATCAGATCTTGCGGTGAAGCTATTTGGTCCATCCTGCTCCTCCTGGCCTTTGGCCTCCTCTGAAGACACAAAGTGTGAATCAGAATTAGTCTCGTCATCGTCGTATCTATCAAGCAAATCATCAACATCCTTATTGCCTTCACCCTCATGGTCACCATCATTGATATTATCAACATCATTGTCCACATCATCATCATCATCATCTTCTTCTTCTTCATCTTCGTCGTCGTCATCATCATCATCATCATCATCATCATAATAATCGAAGTCATCATCACAAATATACTCGTCATCCTCGTCTGCCATATCACTGTCATCCTCATCGTCGTCGTCATCAATAAAGTCAAACCAACGAATGCGAGAACACATTCGATCCTTTCTCCAAACAAGGAATGGCAAAGACATTATTAGTTCTCGTGATCTTGGGTAGATACTACATCCACCTAAGTGATCAAAGTATCATCATGAACCTAACTACTTTTTAAATTTCGATATTTCCCAATAGGAAACTAGGACAAACAAGTGCCTTATTTCTAGAGCAACAGCATTCCACAATAGGAAACTAGGACAAACAAGTGCCAGCTACCAGGAGCAAGATATCAGTGGTTTAAGAAGGACGAAAACGTGAGTAAAGTTGGTCAAACCAACACTAGTGAGTTAAATCATCAGTATAATTCAGTGCTGTATATTTTATCTCTAGCAGTTACACGAGAGCTGATTTTCTAGTGCAGACAATTGCTGATCAATATAGTAAACACTAAATAGTACCTGTCCAATGTTCTTAGGCAATGTAGCCTTTTCCATTGCTTTCGGTGTGAATATCTTTATATCGCGCTCAATTCCACTGCTGGCAAGTATAGTGCTGTGAGGATGAGGTTCAATACAGTTCACGACATGCCGATCGCCTTCCATGACATGAATTAGCTCTCCGCCTTCTTTACTCCAAATGAATATCCGACCACAGTCAGAACCACTGACCACATACTCACATCTAGGCCCAAAGAAATTGACACCTTTCACAGTCTCACAGTTACGGTGCCCCTTGTAAACTTGAGGGGCTTTCTCAACATCATCACTTGTAGAAGACTTTCTTCGCGGGTTGGATCCCAATCCCATATCCCGTGAGAAAAGATAGATGAACTCCTCATTATATGTGGCAAGAAGTTCACTCCGGTCAGAGAAGGCCAACCCTGTTATGCCAACTTGTTCATCACCGATCAAATGCGGAGGGCAAAAATAGTCTGCAGGGCGGCCGAAATCAGTCGATGCATCCCACTTACATCTGCGGATATCGTATAGTCGAGCATACTCGTCGGACCCTGCAACTGCGAAGAGGTTTGGATTCCTTGGATCAATTATGATTGCATTCAGATGGACCTCTGACATATAAGCCGCCCTATCGCCATGAGGCGGGCAGGTAAAGAGTTCTGTAGCAGACCTGGTTCTTAGATCAATCTGAAAGAATATCCACATCAAACAGTTCAGTTGCATAGGGTAGTACGAGATTTTAAGGTGGAAAACAAAAATGAGACACAGAGTCAAAGGTCAAGCAAGAAAACAAATGCTCACATGTTGAACTAATCCATCCTCCCCACAGCTATAAAATCCATGAGGGCTTCCAGGCTCAACAGCCAATTTATGAGCTCGACCTTGATGTTTTGCAAGCATTTCAATTTCCACTTCTCCATCTTCATGGATTTGAGCGTGTCGTACCTATACAAATGAAATCAGTTCATCAATGATCAGTCCACAAAATGAGCAAAATTCTGAGGAAGACCATACCATAACAGGCATCCTCGAGAAGTAGAAACATTCATTCCATGAGAAATGTGATGAACGGTACATATTCATGAAGAACTGATGTTGTGACTGAAAGGAAGAGAAGTTACCTCTCCATCAGCAGCGCAAGTGACAATGCTGCGGTCATCTGAGAAGGACATAATCTTTGCTTGAAAGACATTACCCTGGTGACCCGAATGGAAAGCAAGCTTGATATTCCCAGTTTCCCAGTCCCAGAGAATCACTTGTCGGTCGTCGGAACCAGACACCAAAATGTTGCCATAAGCATTGAAGCTCACAGTATTAACGCACCCCGAGTGCTTGTTTAGTTTCTTGTAGAGCTCAAGTCGGAGTACAAGATCCTAGCAGGCACATATTAACCCTTAGCATTTACGTACTGTCTCAAAAACCAATTGAACCAAACAGCAAGAAGCTTATCAAGAGACACTGACAATTATACTGAACGCCAACCCACTTGGCCCAAGAATCAGATACCAAAAAGCGAATACACCAGCTTCAGTAAGTTGATGGACAAACTACAGATAGTTTGCATCCCATTTCCATCCAGATCACCCCCAAAAATCAATGAAATTATGACCATACCCTTCATTCTAGCAGACACAACAAAGACCCTTAACAAGCGCAGATCCTTTTATCGCAGGAACAGAAATCGGAGACACAAACATAAGCCACATTCAATCAACACCAGTAGGCAACCAATCCATAAGAACGCACAAATTAGCATGGCACTCGATTCAAGGAGGAAAGAAAAGAAGCACCTTGGACGCAGCAAAGCGTTGAGAGAAGCGGCGGCCGGAGACCTGGCCAACCTCCCTGTGCAGAACGTCGACCACCGCCGCATCCAGGCTCGCACTTCTGCTTCTCTTCCCCATTCTAAGCACCGACGACGAGGATGAGGGAGAATTGAAGAAAGAATTATGGGAATCCAAACCAACCACAAAGTCGCCAACTTTCGATTCTATATTTCTCACCCTCCTTCGGCGTGAAAACAAGAAATATCACCTTCTCATGTCTCCAACCCCGCGGCAAGCTCAACTGGCGAAACGATATATAAAGGTGCCGTCTTTCGCTTTCGGAAGTCGGGTTTTCTTCTCTTCGTCTCTATCATACAACGTGGATACCTATGATCGCGTGTGCTCCAGCTTATGGAAGCTTTCTGTGTGGATGTGCACCTCTGATATAGACACGTGGCACCAATTTGGGCAGAAGGGGAAGGGTTGGGCCAAGGCTCAAGGCTTTACTTTCGTCATTTTGTGTTTGGATTTTAATGTCCAGCCCGCTTTTCGGCATCTTCAAGCCCTAGGCCCAACCCAAATCCAATATACTAATTTCGGATGTCAATGCAGTTTTACTAAACCAAGGATGAAGGAACCTCTCGCTTTTGCTGGTTTGGAGTTGAGGAAAGCTTCCAAACACAAAGGAACCAATCATTAGACTACAAACAGAAGCAGCTAGGCTGAAAAGGAAAGCCAGCAAGCAAAAGTTCTTACTTGCCGTATCCCACGAAAGAATGTCAATCTTCTTGTCGTCGACATCTATTGTTCATCATGAAGTTGAAAATGAGACACTTGTAATGGTCATCTCACAACCTGACAAAAAGTAGAACCGTCTGCTGATACAGCCCAAGAAAACAAAAATCATATCAACCCTCAGAAAACTGCATATTCCCATGATATACTAAGAAATCTAGCCCTTACTGACCAACAATCCGGCTGGCGTGCTGATGGGGTTGAAGTTATAGGCTAGCAAAGTTGGATCGCGTCGAGCAATCCATCCAACGGTGTTAGTCCATCGTAGTGCCAACCATATCATCAACATGCTAGCAAAATTTCCTGACCAATAGGAGAAGTAATTCCCTTATCGATGTCATTATGTCAACGTCTCATGGTATATGAACGACGGTCAACTAAAGAATCGAGAATACGGGACTGCATAACTAGACAAGCCTGTCCCTTTTGTCCTGCATTTTAACATTTTCTCGGAAGGGAAAGATTGCAGAGAGTTGGTTGAATATTCCGTTACCTGAACGTTTGTGCTTTGGCCTGCACTGCACACATTTCACAGACAGTGGTGTAGATCTCTGTGCTCTAACGGCTGTTGATATCTATGGGCGCAGTTAGCAACATTTCCAGACATTCCTGTGGTTCGTCCTCTATTCAATATTTCCCTGACAAGGGAGAAAAAACGTGTTCATATGTTTTCATATCCTGGTCGTTGAAGCCGAGTAGCAAAGTTCAACAAGATATTAATGTGGAAGAGATAGAGGGTAGAGGCTCTAAACCTCTTCTGAGAGCGGCAATATCTAAGACATCTATATTATCCTGAACTAACCTGTCTGCTGATAGAACCAATAACCTCAGGCTGCGCTACTCATGGATGTCTTCCAGGTCCTGATTGACCCCGTAGTATGCATCTAATGCTTGCTGCTGACCGAGTTGATGCAGTTACCACGGATTTTAAACCGCGATTGTCATGGACGAGAGAAATAAATCAATCCACCCAGCTATGTGCTGCTTCCTTTCTGACATTGTTCTTCTCCATCATCAACCTCACTTCACTTGCATCGTTCCATAGTCCCAAATCTGCATACATATTATGCAGCAACACATATGGAGCCGAGCTCTCTGGTTCTAGCCTCATCAATGATTCAGCAGCAATTCTAGCAGTTCGAACATTGTAATGCAACTTGGAAGCGCTTAATATCGCACCCCAAATAGCTTTATCTGGTCCAAAAGGCGTGGTAGTAATCAAACTCAGGGCTTCTTCAAGCTGCCCATGCCGGCAGAGGACGTCCACCAATGATGCAAAATGTTCGACCGTTGGCTCGATGCCATAATCAGTGGCCATGGATTTAAATATCCTCCGGGCTTCTTGAACAAGTCCAGCATGAGCACAAGCGTTCAGAGCTGCAATAAATGTTATATGAGTAGGCTGCACGCCGAACAGCTTCATCGATTGAAATATCTCCAGGGCTTCTGAAGCATGGCCGTGAGATGCGTATCCTCCAATCATTGCGTTCCATGAGATCACTTCTCTCTCTAATTTGACTTCCTCGAACATTGATCTTGCATCGGATATTGCCCCACATCTCGAGTACATTGTGATCAAGGCGTTATTGATCGTAACGTCTGGGATAAAAGTCTTCCATATCAGCTGATGAATTTGCATACCGAATTGCAAATTCGCTAACCTGGAGGAGACACTAAGAACTGAAGATAGTGTGTGCCTATCGGCCTTTTCTCCCTCTGTCTGCATACCCATGAAGAGGATAATAGCACCAGTGGGGTCATTGTTCTTTTCGTATCCAGCAATCATGGAATTCCACGACACTATGTTCTTCTCAGGCATCTTGTCGAAGAGATCGCGAGCTAGTTCCAAGCTTCCCATTTCACCATGGCCTGAGATCATAGAATTCCACGAAAGAGTGTCTGGATTTGGCATTCCGAGAAATAGCTTAGAAGCTTCCTCCATGTTTAATGCCTGAACGTAGCCGCTAATCATGGTGTTCCATGAGAAATTGTCCCGCTCCATCATTTGATCGAAGAGTTCTCTAGCGCGAACAAGATCCCTTGCCTTGACATAACACATGATCATCATATTCCATGACACCAAATTTCTCTGAATTCGATCGAAGACTATCCGAGCATCATGAACCTTCCCTCTCTGGCCATACCCGGCAATCAATGTATTATATGCATGCACCAAATCATGTACCCTGAAATCACCATTCCCCCACTCGAGAAGAACTCTTGCAGCTGCATCCAGCTCTCCATTCTGAACAAGACCCGCTACCAGTGCACTGACTGATGAAGCGTCTCTATCGGGCATTCTATTAAAGAACTCAATTGCACGTGACACCTCCCCGTTCTGCAGAAACCCAGTAACCACAGCGTTCCAGGAGACAACATCCCGCTGAGGCATTTTGTCGAACAGCTGCAAGGCGTCATCCATCCTCCTGTTCTTCGCGTACCCACTGATCATGGTGTTCCACGACACACAGTCCCGCTTCGGCATCCGATCAAACAAACGCCTCGCTTCCTCCAGAAACCTGCACGAAACGTACCCGGAAATCATCGAGTTCCACGACACGACATCTCTTTCAGGCATTTCTTCGAACAGTTTCCTTGCCTTCGTCATTTCCCCCCGCTTAGCGTGCCCACTAACCATCGAGTTCCAGGACACCACGTTTCTCTGAACCATTTTATCAAACACTTCTCGAGCTTCATCAATCAGCCCGCTTCTCGTCAAACTTCTTATCTTTAAATTCAGCTCGTACACATTTCTTCCGCTGGAAATACTCTGCGTCCTAGCAGTGGAGGCAAAACCTCGCGGCGATAAATCCTCCAACGGCCTCGAAGCTCGAAGCTTTCTTCCCCTCGACAGTAAAACAACACCATTTAAGCTTATCCATCGTTGAGTAAAGCTCCATACTTCCCGTCCTCTCATTGTTCTTCTTCTATACACAGAGCTGGCAAAAACTGAGCGACGCGTGAAAAAGGAGACGCAGCTAAGCCATTATGTTAATGCATGTGTCGTTTCCGCCACAATCGCACACCTTGCACGTGCTACCACACCATCGTCGCCGGAGCAACGACCGTCGTATTGAAATTACAGCTCTGAGCAAGCAAGGACAGCGCTTCTTCTCTTCTCTTGCAGCCACCGCCGTCACCGGAGGAGACGAAAACCGTGTGATAAAGAAATTCGTCGCGGCGTCACCGAAATCCATTGCATTGGAAGCGCTTTCGACTCTGCTTTCTCCCGAGTCTTCTCATCTCCGAATCTCGGGTCTCGCTCTGCCTGTAAGTTATCCCTCTGGAATCCGAAACCTTCTGAAATGGGTACCACTACATGCCAATTCTGAAGATGATGTCTTTCGTTTTTATCCCATTTCCCCAGCTTTACTTGAAGATCACTGAAGCTTCATGGTTCGAGTGGAACCCGAAGCTGGTTGCAAATCTGGCAGCTTCGCTGGATAAACAAGAGCAATGCGATGAATCAGAGTCATTAATCTCCGACTCCATTGCCAAATTACAGAGCCGGGAAAGGGAGCTTGCTCTGTTTTACTGCGAGCTGGTCACTTCGCACTCCAAACACGGATCGAATCGAGGATTTGATTGCTCTCTAGCTCGTTTGGATCAGCTCCTCCGCAGTTCAAGCTCCGTTTATGTGAAGAAGCAGGGCTACAAAGCAATGGCGAGCGGGTTAGCCGAAATGGGCAGAGTAAAAGAAGCAGAAGAATTGATCGAGGAGATGCGAGGGAAAGGAATCAGGGCGTCACAGTTTGAGTTCAGATGCGTACTTTATGGGTATGGAAGATCCGGAATGTTTGCAGACATGCAGAGGATAGTTGGGAAGATGGAAACGGAAGGAATCGAAGTCGACACAGTCTCTTCAAACATGATCCTTTCGTCCTTTGGAGCTCGCAGTGCGCTCCCTGAAATGGCTACATGGCTGCAAAAGATGAGAACTTTACGAATTCCATGTTCAATAAGGACTTACAATTCAGTACTGAACTCCTGCCCGACAATCACGTCGATGATGCAGAGCTCGGCCAGCTCTAATGGCTTCCCAATTTCCATCCAAGAGTTGGTGAATAATGTGACAGAAGCAGAGGCAGTTTTGGTTGGACAACTGGTGGAATCAGAGGTGCTGAACGAGACAATGAACTGGAATGCTTCAGAAGCTAAACTAGATTTGCACGGAATGCACTCAAGCTCGGCTTATGTTATAATACTGCAGTGGATGGATGAGTTGAGAGAGAGATTGAGCCGCGGCGATGGAGTGATTCCAGCAGAGGTGGTGGTGGTATGTGGGTCGGGGAAGCATAGCAGCGTTAGAGGGCAGTCACCAGTTAAACGACTGGTGAAAGAGATTGTAGTTCGGACTGGAAGTCCGTTGAGAATAGACAGGAAGAACACAGGTTGCTTTATTGCTAAAGGGAAAGTAGTCAAGGAATGGTTATGTTAATGCTAATGAGAAAGGGAAAACATCTAATAGAACACAAGGAATGAAAGCATCTCCATGATTCATGGCCAGTAAGTTCTTTGCATTTCATTGAAGAGAACAAAGAAGGGCTGCTTAATGATACATATGTTCATCTTTCTATTATGCAACAGTGATTAGCAAATGCTAACTCCGAGGGATGTTCTGGGAGCTTTTTAGTTGGAGCCTTCTGGAGGAATTCAATAGCAAATCAATTGGAAGACCTCATGTTTAAAAAGAATTGCAGAATGACCAAAAGGTAGCTTGCTTTGCCATGAGCATACTAACGGACCTACACAAAATGGCCGATGCAAAGAACTTGTTGCTTCCTTTATGTTGAAGGCACAGACAGCATATATATGCATACATGTAGGCTCTCAAGTGGTGATTGATCGGTTCAGCCTATTGACAGTGATTCCCTTCCCTAGATCTCCTGATAACCACTTTATAGATCATAAAGAAGTACAGGGTTCTAAGACTAACCTGATGAAAGCGTTCTCTACTATTCTTCCTTTCAAAACCACGGCATCCACCAAATGTACATTTTGCCAAGATTCTTGTGTGAAACAGCTTCGGCAATTAAGCGCCTAGCCTGACCTTCAACAGCTAGAGGCAAAGAGGGTGCTGCTCCAACACCAACTACTACTCCTTGTAACCTTGCTTCAATGTTACTGATTGCTCTCTGCAAAGGTTGGGGAAGTATGGTCACATGATAAGCAAACCTTATGAATTTTAACTCCAGCACAATCATAAAAAAAACATGTAAATCAAGCTATGAGAGCAGATACTGTAAGATGGACCACAGCCTATGCTACCTGCGCATGAGGATTTTGAACCTCTGTGCCACTGGATTTGTGAGATTTTGTCCACTCAACAAGGGGGTCGTGAATGAAAGTTTCTAGAACACTCATCAGAGTCTCCCTGTGTGTTCTCAGCACTGAAAGTGTGATTTCACAGACCTTCAAAAAGATGCCCTCATATCCAGTAATTCCCAGTCCATCAATCATATTCTGCATAATCAAAAATCAAACAGAGGTCATAAATACAAGGTTCAGAAATCATGTTATCCCAAACATAGAAGTTGCTTCCAAAACGTAACGAGCTCAAGGGGAGACAGCTCTGGAAACAGTAAATAGTCATGGAAAACCTTAACTGGGAAAACATACTATTAAGACATGAAAGCAATAATTACCTGAGTTAGTCTGAAAGGAACTAGCTCTGGCTTTTCCAACTGCAAGCCTTTATCAAATAGGCAACTGAAATCGACATGAACGCAATCACCTGTCGTTGAGTCAAATAGAATGTTTTCACCATGTCTGTCCCCTAGACCCACAATATGCCCAACCATTGACCACACAGCAGTGGTGTGAGCATAAGCAACACGAGCTCTAAACCAAGCAGCAGGCTCGGAGAAAGTAGTCAGGAACCACCTGTGGAAAACTGGGGGGAATAGTGGAAGGAGTTTGTTCTTCAGCATCTCATCCTCTGACATTTTACCTTGGCATTGATCATAAATGCGTTTAATTATAGGATTTGTCTTCTGTCGATCAAATTTCCCACATGTGGAGTATATGTCCTGAAGAATATGCCGGAGTCCACGGGTATGAGGCACCCATTCCACCATACCACAGTCTTCAGTTAGAGGAATCACTGCAAAGGTACGGATGTAGAGTTTCCTTCTCCGGCTTTCAGGATATTTGGACAACAGACGATTAATCATTGCAGTGAACTCCATCATACGAGCATCTTTCCTAAGGTCATCCTTCGGTTTGCACAGGAATGGGCGTTCAATGCCATCACTACCCAGAAAAACAATCTGAAAATGGAAACAAATATTAATAGTATTAATGTACAAGATATTTGAAGCTCAACAGTACCTGGAATATCCTCTGCAGTCAAAAGCACAGAATTACGTTGATGAAAAAGCAGCACTGATAACTTACTTTCTTTGGTCTCTGAAGAGATGAAAGGATCTCGGCCTCATCAGCAATTCCAGAAATCATTGGAAATTCAGAAGTTGCAAATATATCAGATTTAAGTGACTCGTTCATGTTACAGGTTGGCAAGGTGAAAGAAAGAGACTGCTGCATTGGCATGATGATTTCCAGTGGCATCATTCTTTTCAAAGAACTGAATTCAGTTGCAATGTTAATCGTCTTTGATTTTTGCTGGCCTGGGTGGAAGCACAGTTTGATCAGATGATCAATCAAGCCAGCAAACTGGGCAAACAAATTACTCCCGGAGTTTCCTTGACCGAACCCTTTTTTAGCCTCTTGTATGATTGCTGCAGCTGCTTCCCTCCTTGAAGAGACTTTAGACTTTGAAACAGCTGCTGTGATCCATAATGCCTGTTGGGGATATTCCCTGAGAACAGAAGTGATAATCTTTTTGACTAGTTGAACGACATCTTCATTCTGGTGGCAGATCCTTGAAACCAATTGAGGCAGTACAGTCAACCATTGATATGTGGGCAAATCCTTTAAACAACCTCTGATAATTGTCAACACCTACAAAAATGAAAAGGATGGGAAATGGAACAACTCCTTTAAATGACATAAAAGGGAAAAAGAGGTTATTCGTATGAAAGAAGAGAAGTTGTATTACCCTGGCATGGACCTTCGCCAATTCCCCATTAGAAGGACGCGATCTTTGATAAATGCTTCCAAATTCAAACCACAAGGTGAGCAATCTCGGAAGTGCTTGAAAGAGGTTCCTGTGGCCCTTATGCAAACCCTTGGCATAATACAGTAATACATCAGACAAGTAAAACCACCAGCGCTTCTCATTATTTGAAACAGAAGCCCTGGAACCTATGTCTGAATTGTCTTCCTGTCTTTTCCTAGCATCAACAAGCAGCTCGTCTAAGTATTTTGCTAAATAGAAGAACCCCTTTTCCCACAAAGGTTGCAATTCCCTGACTCTGGAATATAGAGCTATGACGTCTTCTTTCTGCTTCTGGCCAGTATTATGTATCCATCGGGTATACAAGAGGAGAGTCTTTGCGACATCCTGATTATTATCATTCAAAGCTTGATTGTCACAGTCAGAAGGTAGAGGGTTTAGAGGCACCAATGAGAGGTTGGTAATAGATGACCTAGCAGCAGTGCCTACAATCTTCACAGGCATGTGAAGAAGAGATTGTTGCAACTCCGCAATGGCGCCATCTGATCGCCTAGTACTCCACAAAAGCTTTGCCTTTTCCATGTGAGCATTAAGTGCTCCTGAAGATTGAGCTTCAAGAATCGATCTGTTAGCTGTTTCATAATGACCCGAGGAACGACAGAGCTTTGCATATTGGAGCCAGCAGTTCCCGACTTGTGCACCAAGGCCACTGGATGTGAATACAAGTCTTCGGAAAGCCAGGAGCGGCTCTCTTGTCCATAGTGATGATTGTGTTATGCTAAGCCTATTTTCCAAGTTCTCCACTAATTTTGTGAATTCCATATCACTTAGATGGAACCTTTTCTCCAAGAAAGAGTCATTGATAAGAAGAGAATGGAAGTTCTCTAGTTCCTGCAGAAAGTGAAGTTTCACAATTAAGGGGTAAGCCCTCATGTAGGAGTCCATGCCTGCAGCAGCAAGAGGAGCAATCAAAGCCTGTTTGGACATTCCAATCCTCTCAGCAACTGCCAATCTATTCTTCTTCATCATAGCCTGGAGAATTTTAGCAACATCAATGTCAAATGAAGCATTACTCTCGGCGCCACTACAAAGCAAGCCTTCTTCAGCAGCACCGTTGAGGTATTCATCCATCAAGTCCCACCTGCCTAGTCTCCATGCTGCTTGCACCCCTTGCATGCACCACGTTTTCTTATATTGAGGGAACCTAGAAATCAAACCGTCAACATGAGTCACCATTGCCTGTAGATGGCACATGTTCAGCAAACAGTTTAGAACATCTGAATGCCTCTGAATCGAGAGGGCCTCCATCTGTAAAGCTTGCTCACAAGAAGTCAAGACCTCAGCCCAGTTTCCTGCCTTCTTGTTTAGTAAGAGTTGGTCCTGCAAGCTCATAGATTTCCGCAAAGAGGCCAAGCCTGATAAACCATCAGGTTCATCAAGACAGCTATATATTTCCATCAGGTATGAAATATCTTCATCCTCAAAAGTGCCACTTGTCTCAGCAGCAGGGTTAAATGCACCTGATTTTTCACGCACATGAGACTCAAAGTACATCAAAGATCTAGCATATGCTTGACACCTGAAGGATGCCCTTGCAAGGGTAACCTTGGGAACAGCATCGAGTAGCTCGGAGACATGTTTACACTGGACAAGGAGTTGATCCTGATCAGGCAAAGAGGTATTATGGTCTTTTGACTTGGAACCTTGCTTTCTAGAAGTTGTTGACTGGGTAGACTGGGACAATGCTATTTCTTGCTCAACATCATCCACCCATTGGCCAAGGTTATCAAGGAGGGTGAAAACAGCTTGAATACAAACTTCGGTTTGTCCACCACCAACATGAATAGCAGCCCCACTATTTTCTGATACAGCAGCGCTAAGAACGGATAGCACCTCTTCAGTAATGCTATGGCGGGCCTCTGCAGTACCATGACAAACAGCATTAAGGACGAGATACGGTAGCAGGTAGCTGGCTATTTGCATATCATGCCGCACTATGCCTCGGCATGCATTAAATATACTTGCACGTGAACCATTTGCATGTGCAGTCAGCTTCTTTATCCAAAAGAATATCCATCTTCTAAATGACATTGATGGCCGGTAAATTGGGCCAGCTGAAGATAAATCTGCAACATTAGGAAGCTGAAACCTAGAGGTCAAACAAGGGGCTATTATCTCTTTAACATAATTAGAGAACCTGTCCCACAATATCTGACCCCTACTATTCATCATACTGCTACCATCAGCAGACCTAACAATTGGTGTGCGATAAGAAGCACCAACATTTTCATCTAATGATGCCTCACAGCCAGCTATCTTGAGCAGCTCTTGTATTGCTAATGCAGCTGAATCCTGAACAACTGTATCAGGTGCAGCTCTAAAAGCTCTTGCTAAATGCTTGTGGATCAACTCAAAAATAAGGTCATCATCTGAACATTCAATTGTAAAACGTATGCTTGGAGAACTTTTCACTTTAGCAGGGTCGACTGCGCCAAGTGCTCCGAGGCAATCAGCACAGACCAATTTCAATCGTTGCCCCACAACAGTCCTCGACTCTTCAGCACATCCTCTTAACAGGGAGGTAATCAAAGAACTTAAAACATCCATGTCAGCGGTAACCTCACCAGTGATCAAAGCTGTAATATCTTCCCGTCTTATATTAAGAAACTTGCTCAATTCACACACCGCCATGTACCTCACATTCAAGTTCTCATGATCCAAACCTTCAGAAACAATTCGTAACTGATCCTTCAAAGTCAACGAACCGCGTGCCTCTTGGATAGCTGTGTTCACGTCCTTTAGCAAAGGAATGCTGGGTAATAGAGGGAATTCGCGAAGATGATGCTTCAAAACTATTCTGTTTTTCAGTACAAGTTCTTCCAATATATTTACTACAGTATTCAACTGCATAGAAGAGCTTTCTTTGTACCTCTCCACAAAGGGAATAAGAGCAGCAAATACTTGAGAAATGACATGCTTGATGCTGGATGGTGATTTGCTAGCCAGCTGCTCAATAAAATAATGCAGTACAGAGAGACCTTCACTTTGCAGTGATTCTTTGTCAATAGCATGCATGAGAAGAACCATCAGTTTTGGAACATAAGTACTAAGATGAGACCCCATCATTTCAATCAACATTTTAATGCGCTGCAGCGCCTGTATCTGCAGTGAAACGTCCTTTGCATGAAGCATCTTCCTATCAATGCTGTTAAGGAGGCCAACAAAATGATTCCTCAGAAAGCATGAAAGATCCTCGGAACCTGTCAGAACTTTGGCGATTTCTTTTATCATCTCAGGTACCCTTGACAACCTGTGTACAAAATCGAAAAGAATATAGCAGAGCAGTTAAAGATAAAAGGCATCAGTAAACTAAATAAATAACATGTTGGAATAGTCACTCTGAGGAGGATGCTCAAAACTTATTCCATGTTTTCTTACATTTCACCTTACCCACATACTATAACAAAAGAAAAACAACGAGAAGACTCTTTGTACCTTCTCTTAATATCAAGTGGATCAGAACCATCAAGAAAGCATACAAGTTCATCAAGAAGGGCAGGCAATGCAGCTGCAAATATTTCTTGGCTGTCAGAACCAGTTTGGTTATGATAAAACTGCAAGGTAGACCGTAACTCTTGGCCATCTGTTTGATGAAGAGCAGACGCAAGAACCTTCGGCAACCAATTAACTACGAGAGGAACCATCTCGGTGTTCAGCCACTTGGCTAACTCGAATAGAGTATCAACTGCTTGTTCATTTTCCTGCCAAGACACCACAAGCTTTGGTAGCACTATGGGAATCATTTTCTCAATTAGCTCTTTCATTTCAACACCAAGCACAATTTCAGCAAACTCTCTAACCATCTTTGGACGACTCACGAGGTTCATACTTAGATACTCAAACAGCTGATTACGAGTGTGAACAAATTTTAATAAGAGTTGTTCAGGCCCAGCTTTAAGATGGGCAAAGCAAGATTTATGTATCAACCTTGATGCAGTCATTCTGACAATCATGTGTGAATTATCAAGCTGATCAACCAACAGCATAAGAGAAAACAAAAACATTTGGCTGCCAATTTCAACAGAGACCATGATGTGCATTACTGATTCCAAAAGAGTCTCAAATGCTTCAGGATCTTCAGCAGCTGCCAGTGAACCCTTCATAACACCCAACAAATGTCCCTCTCTAGTACTGTTCAACAAATTCTCCCGAACAAATAAGCAACGGAAAACACTAATCTGAGAGCAGAATGCTTCCCTCACTGTTCTTATTTTGCTATTCAGGCAGAAGTCCAAGCATTTGATCCAATCAGAACTTGTTTTTTCTAGATCATCTTCCTTCAAATGCACAAGTATTCGTCTAATATTTTTCACACATGCAACTTGGATCTCCTCTGAAGATCCGTCATGAAGAAGCTTAAAGAACACTGACGTGAGAACTTTGAAATCACAATTTAAGGCCGCATAGTTTAGTAGATCCAGTCGATGTGATCCCATCAAGAATGACTTGTACTTGGGTAGAAGACTAGAGTCACACTTAGGACACCAGAATCCTTGCAGCAGACAATCTAGTGTTTGATTCTTCTTGTCGTCATAGGTATCTAAATAATACTTACAACTGCCTCTTCCCTGATCATTATAACTTCCACTGCCACAGCCATATAAGCAAGACAAATACCCAAGACAAAAGGGAATGACTCTCTTAACAGAATCATGTCGTTCCCTTCCAAAGAACCTACAGAAGGAGGAAACTGAATCACAGGCCAATAAATGGGACATGCTGAGCAGGTCGAATTGGCTACCAGATAACCAGTAAGGGGTCGTTGGGTATAATGAACATGGTCCATGATGAAATTATGTCAAATAAACTAGTGGAATCCTATAAAGACTAACAATCTATCTTCCCTTCCACCAACATGCCAAGACATGTCATAAAAAGGAAACCATCTATTTGTATTGGCACATCAGTCATACTTCGTCAAAGCAACTTGTTCTCAACTTTTCCACTATCGCATCTTACCATAATTTATATCACTAAGTTCACACATATAGAAAAACATCATTTTTCCCACCTTAGTTCAATTTAAGCGCTTGCACAAGAGAAATCGCCATTTCAGGAACGAAAAATATAAGAGCTATTGAATCACAACAGGATCTCCGTAGTTCACTTACTCGAGCCTTTCGAAGATTTCTGGCAGTACATCAAGACCACATAACAACACAATTACCACAAAACCAATGGTAGCTTCACTCCTAACCTCAGCAGCTTCATCTTGAAGGCCCAGATCCAAGACTTCCAAACAACCTTCACTACTTAAACTACGTCCGAGTTTCGATGCAACTTGAATTGAGATTTGTTTTGTTTTCCATTGAGGGTGTGGCCCACTGACCATGTGAGCGTGTGTCCAGGGAAGCTTTAACACTTTCAACATAAGATCTGCATATTCATTCCTAAACTTGGGAAGTCTATCCCCTGATTCAGAAAACGCTCCTGTAAACATCAAAGATAATTTCGTCACTGATAAATAATTACTTTTCCCAACCCCTAAGCTACTGGCAATGGCAAAGGAAAGCATCTAACTCACCCTGGTTTCGAACATAAGGCCATCACTAATCAACAAAATACTTCTCCTGTCTGACCTAAGATGAAGACATCACTAGGCACAATTTTTAATAAGACAGGCTTTCCTTCGATAATTAAAAAGTATTTACAATTCTTAATCAAAAGAACTGACATGCAGATGGAATCCATTACTGGGTACTGCATTTGTTTTATGCTTATATGCAAGCCAGGGCTCACAACGACAATGATGCTTAACTTACGAGTGAATAAAATGTTGGAAAGCAAAATACTCAACATATCAAGACTATATAATGTCAATCAGAATAATCTAGTATACAGCAAAATTTCCCTTTTGCTATCAGTGAAACTGGCATTGATTCTTACTCTGGATAAGTAGTATGCTGTGTATTCCTTCAAGGTAAATGAGAATATCAAGGCTGACTGGATTTGCTTGCTCCACCTACATGATGGAATAATTATTTGAGGAACGACAGAAAAATATTCTCACAGGTGAGAAACAAGAATTGCGCAAATCAAGCACCTGCTTGCAGATCCACGGAAGCCATGAATGCATCACCTCAAAGATGCAGACCAACAGGTTAGTACCTGGTTCTCTAGAGCAAGCAATGCAAAGCATGCTAAGAGCTGTTAATGCCATTTCTGGTCTAACAGAATCCGACAGAGTAGAAGAGCATTTCAGTTGTTCAATAAATGAAACGAGTGAGGTATGCATCGAACCAGCATACTCATCTTCTGTCTCAAAACCAACGATATGACTCCACTTGCACTTTGCCAGTTGACTAGTATAGGGACTCACGTTATCTTCATCTACCTTTCGCCTTTTGCTGAGGAGAATGTCAATGTCCTGGCTTTGTCTTTTTTCTCCAACTCTTGGATTCTCAACTGATTTATCACCACCACTACTCAAACTTACACTGCAATTGTTTTCTAAGTTCCCTCCAACTTGATCTGAACCAAGTATAGTGAGTGCTACCTGAATGCAATCAATCAAAGCACCACAAGATTCTGGAATGAAAAGCATATCTAGCAGAGATTCAGGCTTCCAAATGGAAGGTGGACAAGTTCTGGCAATCCTCTGGTACGCACTGCATAAAGCCACCTATAAGAAAATAACCAAATATGTCAAGTTGGAGGAGAAGGCAGAGAAATATAACAAACATGAATGGAGCACTAGAGCTTCTTTAGACGTAGTAGTTGCAATACAATAAGCTAGCAGATTAATATGATCTAAATCCAATGTGGAAAATGTTCATTCAAACCCGTAGCGGTTAGATATTACCCATCCACTGTTACCCAAAGGCCTACCTGTTGTTTGGGGTGTTAGCGATATGGGATTAAATGGATCTTCTAATTTGAAAAATAAGTAATTGTAGCAGAGCAATCCAAGAAGTCCTTTCTTTATCCGACCATACACAAGTCCAGTTGCTGACTACTACAGTTTTAAAATGTAATAAATACTTGCAAATTTTCTTGGGTAGGTAGAGCATGGTAGAAAGGAATTACAACATTTTCCAGCACGTTGATTTAGCATCCCCTTCTTCTATGATGTATAAGAGGAGGTTCTTCTAACCGTCTGCAACTCTTAAGATTCAATTTGGCAAGAGAAGCACAAAGAAGCGAGAGATTAAAAGGTTCGGCCACTAATTCTAACCAAGAGAGTTATCTAACCTTCAATTCTTGGCTTTTCGTTCTCCACATTGCCCTCTGGAAAACACTAATTACATCCGCAGCTGTCAACTTTATAACATAGTCAGGGCAGCTACCATGCAAGACGCTCAAACAACCTCCAATGGATGAGTCATATGATCTATTTCTGCATTGTAAACCAATACTATGATCAAGGTGATTGGCCATAAAACCTCCAAAGAAGTTCTTCACAAAGCTCAGAAACAAATCTAGGTGTTCTCTAGATTTCCACAAGTGTGAAGTAGACAACGAACCAAGAATATATCCAAATGACAATTTCAAGAAGAAAAGCATACCTGAATAAAGGAAGTAAAGCCGTGTCCTCGCTTAGAATTGCTGTTATTGACATAATCAGGTTTTCAAAAGGAACAATCTCACAATCTATCACTGATGCCACTATGCCAGCAAAGTCGAAACATGCCTTCCACAAAATTTAAACTTTCAGAGAATAGTCACAGATTATATGAACATATTCAACTCATGTTGCATAAAATGAGCTCGTAAATTCTACTAATGCATATACTGAATGGAATAAGAGACAATCACAAGTTGCAAGAACATGATCACACCCACCATATGCAAGTCAGCACTGCCATAACACAACAGTGAACAGGCAGCCGAGACATCTGACAGGCTGATGAGTCCCTCAACGTACAGAGTACCTTCTGTTAGGCATTTACTTAGAAGCCTAATCATCCAAGTTGCAAAGGGCTGCCACCTGGTTTTCCCCATTATATTGATCAATATCCCAGGACCATCAATTGGTTTAATCGTTGGTGGGAGGTCACTCAGATAATCAGATCGAGTGGATATCCTAGTAAAGGACTGGGAAAAACACTTCATGTTTACACGAGCATCATTCGAAATGCCTGGATTTTCGGCAGCAATGCTTGCCACGTAGGTAAGATCTGCACCCAAGTAACTTAGATCAAATTTTGCATGTTCCTAGAAACACAAGTAAGCAAGTCGGGAAAACCCACGTAGTGCTTGAAGTGCAACGCTCCCCTCAATAAAATTTACAATATAGCCTTCAGAAGTATGCCAGCATATATATTACTTAACTGATAAAACATATCTACCCACAAAATGAATTGTCTGCATAATTATTGTCTCACCTTCAACCGCCGAAACAGTATCCAAGAAAAACTGGCAGTATGCATCTCTTTCACCACTGCGGAGCATGGATAATAAAGATCCAACCGTCTCGAAAATGACTCCATGCCGTGAGCTGAAAATGCAACGAATCATCCCCATCAGGGAAGCTCTTAGCAGCTTTCTAAGTGTGTATGCAATCAAAAGAAACAAGACATCTAGTGGGAAGTCTGAATTCTTGGGATACATTTAAACAATTACAGCATCAATCAAATGGTTAAATAGCTAAAAGGGCACTCTAACACATCCAATTGACAGTGCATATTCACTTTCAGACTTATCTTGCAGCCTGCTAAAGTGAAGCAAATGTGGAAGGACAGACATTCAATGGTAAAGCATACACAGTGTCTGGCTTCCATAGCCAGCTACAGCATCCTGTGCACTCTCATAGAAAACGACTCCGGTTGTCAGACATTGATGAATTGCATACAACTTCCTTGGACGAAATCACCATTCCATATTCATTAATCATTATTCACCAACTTATGCGTTAAACCTAGTTTTCATATTCTTCGCCTTACAGTATGAGCCATTTTGACAGGAAAACGCCGATAACTGAACACTCCATAGATCGCTTACCAGAAAGCAGGTTCGGCGAAGAAGGGCAATATCCTGCCGATGACAGGAAGTACAGCAGTGGCCTTCCCTTGGTAAAACACTCCTGGGAAGTTCCTCGCAACATGAGTAATCAGCTTCAAGACGGCAATCACCTCTCGCTCGCTCGCTGCAAAATAGAAACAACGGAAGCAACTCTCATTCACAAAGTAAAACCCCCCAAAAATCCCTCACTCCGCGAATTAATCAAGCACGCTCCAATTTCCAACCCTCGGATAGAATAGGAAAACACAGCAATGGCGGGGGACAGGAAAAATGTCAATAACGGTAGAAGAAGAAGAAGCATCGGTCAACACCGGATCATCGATTCAACAATTCTAAAGAAATCGCGAAGAGTGAGGGCTCTTCTTCTGCTTCTCCCTTTTTTTCTCGTACCGGAGGAAGAAGGAACGACGTAGTCGAGGAGGTTAGGGAGGACGGCGCGAAATCTGGCCTCTAAAGCGCCATCGTCTCCGTTAGTAGGCGGCGTCGACGACGAAGTTGCTATTCGTTCCCGCAGTTCGTGAACCAAGCTCGAGAGTCTCGTCGCCATAGCTCTGCTATAGTGTCAGTGTGGAATGATTCACTCACTCGCCGGCGAGTCACTGCGCCCGTCCTCGTTCCCTCCCAAATTCGAAACACTTTTTTAGTTTCTACTTTCTAGTTTCTAGTCATCCCCGGCCAGCAGCTCGTGACTCGTGATCAGAAGGGAATGTAGAATGTTTTTATTTTGTCACCATTAATTCAGGCCCAGGCCCAACTTTGCTGTTGGACTTGCACAAAATTCTCCCTGACTGGGCTGGGCTATGGTAAGGCGGTGGGTTGGAGTTAGAGGGATATTTTTACTTCTTTCGTCACTTCATTTTAAAAAAAAAGTAATGAATGTTTATTACTTTATTAGTCAAATTTTTTTGAATTTTTTTAATAATTAAATCTATCAAACTACTAAGAATTAGCCAAACATGGTAACACGTCAACATAATAGCCATTGAGATGGGTTCACATCCTTAAGCCCCAATACTTAAGAACCTCCTTAAGGTAATTTGGGCCATTAGATCAATCATAATTAGTTAGTGGTTGGTTACCCGTTTTTAGGTAGTTAAGGGTAGTGATGGTATTAGAATTTTAATTTAATCAATTGTGGTAATATTCATTAATTATAAACCCGAGTCTTGCGTTGCATTCGTTAGTTTCATTTCCTAGGGGTTTTTGCCGCCACAACAGTTTGCGGCTCCGGCGACCCAATTCCCTACTGCATGCGATGATCTTTTGCTGCTGTCAGAACATCTAGTGGCTGCGACTCCGGCTCCGCTTGAGCTCCAGCATTTTCGTCAGCCGCTCCGGCCTTATTAACATGGTTGAGGAGGTTTGGGCATCCACCTTTGGTTACGGAAAAATCACATTATTAATAATCCAACCAATTTCATTAACAATATTGTCACATTTGGATTAATAACCTACATGGTTATCAATATTTATCTTTTCTGTCATTTTGTATGACTATTGTTAATGAAAAAGTCTCCGTTATTAATGGAATGCGACACTTTTCAACCGGGCTATAAGGCCACCGATTAAGCATTCACAACTTTGCTAACTAACGTCAAATAGTAGTAATAGCATACATAATTATTTACAAAATTAATTATTGATAATCCAACTATTTTTCATTATAAAACATTGCAAACACCGTTAAGAACATGCCGTTAGAGTCAAAGATTGCTAATCGGGTTAATACTCACTAATAATGCAACCCAATTGTGTTAATAACGTCGATGGTTATTATAACACCTTAATGTCATTTCGTGTTACTATTATTAATAGAAACTTATCCGTTTTTAATCAAAATATTTAACTTTTCATCATAATTATAAGTACGTCAAATATAAACGTCTACACATGTAGCAAACGATTTTAATAACTCTAAGGCTACCGGTTAACGACAATCCCATATCCTTTAATAATTATCTTAACCATTTTAATAATCCGCAAATTTCGTTCCTAACATCAAATAGTATAAATAAAATACATAATTACTTACAAAATTAATTATTAATAATGCAACTAATTTTTCTTAACAAAAAAGCCATAACCGTTAATAACATGCTGGTAGAGTGAAAACATTGCTAATTGGTCTCATAAATGCTAATAATGTGACCCAATTGTGTTACTAATGTTGATGGTTATTATTAATCATCCTAATGCCATCTTTCCTCACGATTATTAATAGAAACTTATCAATCTTTAATCAAAACACGTCACTTTTCAACCGTATTATGACAACATCAAATAGAAGCATCCGACAACATATCAAACACCACCTATCGGAAAAGGCCCATTGCATTTTCTAGATAACGTCGGAGCCAACGCTGTCCGCTTCAAGGCGACGATGCTGCGATTAGGGCAATGACAATGGCGACATCGCCGTGGTGATTATGTGACGGCGGCGCTCCAGATCCCGCCGCTTCCTCGCCGTTTGTGGACATGTAGGGTTTTAGATTTTTATTCCCTCACGAAGAAAGAGTCAGCTGATGCAGAATGGGAAGTGTCGATTTTCTACTTTTGCATTCATAATAATTATTATTAATACCATTAAATAATTAATCAAAGTACCTATTTGCCCTTTTAGTTAGTTACTGGCGAGGCGTCACCCTCTCTCCTCTTTCTATTGGCCAGTCAAACCTTAAGGAACTTCTTAAGTTTGGGGCTTAAGGATGTGATCCAACCCGATAGCCATTATTATGTTATCGTTAATTATTTCTTAATTGTGCTCCACCTCAGCGTCCACCTCAGCTGCCACCTCATCAATGAATTTGGGTAAACACTAATTAATTTGTTTTTTTATAAAGGTCTATCATCCAAACCTATTGAATTACTAATAATTTGACCAAATCTTTTGCAATGCATAAAAATATTAGTCATTTTTACGTTACCGTTTATAATTTTGTAACTCTTTTCTTAGTTAAAATAACAAAATTTTGGAATGTTGACCTCCATGTGTCTCTTTCAAATTAATATCATGTTTTCAAGTCAATATTACTAACAAAATTGCTAACTGGAAGTTAACATTTGGCTAATTATTAGTAATTCAATGAGTTTGGCTAATAAAAAAGAATGCGGAAAAGATAATAAATGGTTGACCGGCTAACGTGGCATTTTTTACTGTCACATCAAAATATTTCTTCCAACTCAGCACCACGTCTGACAACTCACCATCATCAAATGAAAAGGTTAACGGAGAGCTAACGTTTGGTTAATATATAATATTTCAATAGGTTTGAATAATATGAAAAAAATAACTAATAAATAGTCATTGATAAGTTATTACCATGAGTTATTTTGGCAAAAATAAGAGCAAACCCATGCGGTTAATGGTGCACTCTCTTCTCTTGATTGGGCTTTTTTCCGGCCTACGTTTTTTGGGAAGAAAAATGAAAAAGACACCGGCGTGCTGGCGGAATGCAATTCGACAAGGGAAAATGCCAATAAATAGGAGAATCAACGAACGACGCCAACTAAATGATGGAAGCCAAAAAATGAAAATGAATATATTACTGTACAGTAATTTGACAACCCCGAGAAGATGAACGGTTAAATAAGTTAACCTACACAACATTTTGGCTACATGGAAAATCCCACGCATAATTCCTCTCCTGGGCCTTTTTTATCTCTTCCATTCCATCAATGGTGGCTTCTTCTGAGGACGGAGAGGAACCCGCCGTGAGACTTCTCCTTCCGCCCGTCGCCCAAGTCGTCTCCAACCTGTTGTTTTGAACACGAGCACCTTGGTATTATTCTATACAAACCTGGATTTGCATGCACTATCTTTACGTAGAAACGAGGCGAAAGGACATTATGGATTTTAGTACCTCCTTGGCTATCTGTTGCAGGTTCTCTATGATTTCGGAGAAGTCGGGTCTTCGCGCTGGATCCTGCTGCCAGCATCTCTCCAGGAGCTCCGCGAGCTTCGGGTTACTGTGCTTGGGGATTGTAGGCCGTAAGCCCTGGGGGGAAAACAAGAAACGATATGCATTTCTGAATTTCTGAAGTTCAAGTTCGAAGTACATGTTTGTAGCATTGGGAAACAAGATTCGGTACCTTCTGGACCACGCCAACTGCTGCCTGAAGGGGTGTCAAGTACTCGTACGGAAGCTGGGATACCAGGAAAAAAGGGAAAGCCGGGTTGGTGGCAACGTTGGAAGGTAATCTATCAGAAAACCCGAAACGGAAGGAGACGGTGGGGGACTGGGGGTTTACCTTTCCGGTTAGAAGCTCCCACAGTACGATGGCGAAACTGAAGACGTCGGCCTTGTGGTCATACGGCTTGTGCTCAATGACCTTCATTGTAAAACAAACTGGCGTAAGGAAGGCGGTATGGACGAACACAATCAAATGCGACACAGCGAGTGATATCAGACCTCAGGAGCCATCCATCTGTAGGTCCCGGTTTCAGCTGTCATGACACCAGATTGAGTTTTCACTCTGGCGACTCCGAAATCTGCAACCTTCACCACCTGAATATATGAAAGAATCAAAAGGGTTTACTATCACGCGGGACTAGCAACATATCTCTATGGCTGTGAACGGTAACCACCAGTACAAACCTAATGACGGTGAACAATAACAGCTAATCCAAACCCAATGAATGATGCCCTATTTGCAACAACAATAACTTGACTGGCGTTTGGGTCCAACCTCTTTAAGAATCTTTTATTGTGAATTAGATGTATTGTTAACGGATCCACTCTAATTAGACTAGCAGCTAACAAGCATATCAACTTTCCTCAACAGCAAATCTGACCATACAGCATAGGATGATGAAAGGGAGTGCTATGGGATCGGATTGCTTTGAGATTATGCGACAAGAGTAGGGTCATTCAGATTAAAGCACGGTTCAAGTAAAGCGGAAATTTTTTGAAGTGTTCAATGGCAATAGACAGATGGAAAAACTTTTACCTCATTTTCATCCATGAGAAGATTTGCAGCCTTCAAATCTCGGTGAATTATGTTGTTTTGGTGCAAGTAGTTCATTCCTTTGGAAATATCTATTGCTACTTTAAGCAAGGAGGGAAGCTTGAAAACTCCCTTGTGTTTATGTAGGTAATCGTACACGCTGCCGCCAGACATGAATTCTATAGGCAAAAAAGAGCAGGAAATAGAACAAAGAAAGACACAATTCATTAGATGACGATGAATTATCATAACTTAAAGAAAGAGAATCTCGGGACTTACCTGTTACTATACACAAACTTGGTGGTTTGGTGCATGCACCTATGAATTGTACAACATTCTTATGCCGAACTTTCCTACAAGCCCAAAGCACTTTATATGTCAACCATAGTCCTTCCACAATAAAGTCTCCTGATGGCTAGAGTTTGAAGGGTACCAGGAGAAGAAGACACTATTGCTGACCTCATTATGTAGACTTCCTGGGCAAACTCTTTCTGCATATCCGTATTTACTCGCTCAGCCTTCAGTACTTTGATAGCTACTTCTTGACTACAGTAAGTACCTTTGTACCTATACCAAATATACTGTAAGATGATTTCACTGTAAAAAAGCATCAGCTAGTACATTTCAAAAAGTACGGAACTCACAGGTCTCCATATGCTCCAGATGCCACCATGTTGTCAAACTTCAGCTGTTTAAGATCAATTTCCCAGACATCAGTCCCATCGTTGGGTATGGTCACGCAATCAGGACCGTATTTGACATTAATCTGCTCAAGTTTCTTTGCAGAATGTAGTGAGTGATTGTTCGACCAAGGCCGATTCTGCAATCAATTTGAAGTTGATTAATGCTAAGCATCCAATGGTACCAAGCCAGATTAGAAATACTGATGGGGCAGGTTTAAATGCGCGATTTGGCATTTTCTCAGACGGAACATTGAGATAGTAAATAGATTAATAGCAGTTGAACTGCACTATTCAGTATTTCATTTACGACAACAAAAAATATGGATATCTTGATCCATAACCAAATTAAATGAGGAGTTGATGAATTACCTCAATGTCGTAAGCTTCCTTTAACAAAGCGGTTCTAAGCTGCTCCGTTTCCTGAAAAGGTGGAAAAGCATGTCTGTCAGTCAGTAGCATTGTGTGACATTTTAAACAAGCTCAGTAACAACCTCCCTGAGCGGGAAGAGCAAATGGAAGAAACTAATACCTCATAAGGCCAACCATCAACAACAAAGACGTCCAATGAGTAACCATCAACTGTTGAAAACGCATGAGCTTCTTGAATGTTCAATCCAACATCAGAGAGCAAGGAAGTCAACTGCGAGTTTCGCAAATTCAGTGAAGACAAAATATCACTCAGAGCTTCCTATGCAATCTGAAAAGTTTATAGCTTTCACTTCAGGATGCACGCTGGTTTACCTGACTCAAAAGTTTTGGCTTGTCCTCCGCTGAAAATGTTATTTCGTGCATGGGCCTGTCAGAATGCCAATTACAATTAAGAATGAGACTTCAGCCTAAGCAATAGATAAGTGAAGATCCACAAGTCTGCATTCTTCTCTTTCAAGTATACAATGTCAAAGAACTAAAGCAACAAGATCACTGATAAAGTCATCAGTCGTCACAATTTCCTAGCTCCGGCTCTCATGAACACAATAACACTAACACCCCCCTTCCCCAACTCCATGACACTTTAAGTTTGTCAAATCTTTCACATACCTCGCTGAAAAATGAGAATCTACCACTCCAAATGGTAGATCAAGTCTATGAAAATTTACCGAGAGAACTGTGAATTGGCATGTACAGAATGATCATCATCCTGATCTTCAGAATCATTTCCTTCAAGTGCAAGTGCTTCAAGATTATGAGATGAACCAAATGCAGGAGGTGGATGTATGCTGAGCATTGAAAAACGGCTGATTTTATCAGCATTATTGATGACAACTGCTAAGCAATAGGTCAAGTCTCGAGAATAAAAATTGTAACCAACATACCTCTGTCGACTGCTTTGGGCAGATTGCTCCCTATTAGATCCTGGATAGTTAGAATCATCAGCCCAGTTCCCATCAGGACTAGGAGGAACCTGCACAGGACTTCAGTTGGTTCACAACCATGTAAACATTCACCAGATTCCTAGAAATAAAAAAACTCGAAAAGGTTCTACAGACAGTAAGAGAACTGCCACTTGGCCTATGCCAACAAGAAATCTGCGGTTGATGCTGGAAACTTAAGAAGAGGAAAACTTAAACTGCAGCCTATGAAGTTGAGATATTTATGAACTCCATCAACATGTCAGCTATGATGATCTATACAAGGAAGCGGTCAACAGCTGATAAACAATGATAGCTTCATTTTGGCACATATGATAAAGAATCCAGACAGCTCAGCGGTGACATAAGGTTTGTTGATTTACAATTCAGCACAACCGAGTTTCAAATTCAATCCTTGAAGCCAATAAACGAAAGATCAAGATGGACTTCGGCAGGTAAAATCAGATCTCGAAGCCTTTCCCCATGTAGATTTAGTCAACTAATTACTGTGCTGGTTTGTCATGCAGTTCATGAATCATGACTTCGACTTTACCAACATGGGGAACTATTTCACGGGCCCAAAGAAGTTGATTCTGACATTAGAAAAGAAGAAACACACACGGGAAAAAAAGTTTTCACAGTTCTAGGGGTGGTCCCAGATAATGCAAGTCCCCTTCTAAAATCAAGACCGACCATGTTTCAATGCGATAAGCTCCGTTGGCATTGGAAGGGAATGGAAAACGACAACCACACTTACAGACAGACAAACTGTAGCTGCCAAAAAAAACTTGAAAAGCACTAACAACATATCATCACAGCATCCATGTGAAGTTGTGAACCAACCACGACGCACCAGCACCAAAATCAACAGATTTTGGATGAAGAAGGCAGCACAATTAGAAACCAAAACGCAAAAAATGAAAAAGAAGCAAGCATGTCAGCCATTTCTGAGTCTGGAAATGCAAGGATCCAAATAGTTTCGAAATTGAATAAGAATCAAGCAATGGAGTATTGGCAGACATTTAGGTGAACCACGCACCTGTACTAGCCGGACTTCGATCACCGGCCGATTAGCCGGATCGTGAGCCAAATGCAGTAGTCTCTTGTGCATTAGAACATCCTCAGCTCTTTCCACATTTACGTCCAATGCATATCTGTAACGAGAACGAAGAAACCAGATTATAAATCAGTACTAATTCGAACTCACTCCATCCACTTGATCTCCATTCGATCAGGCAGAGAAATGCATATCGTCGAACAGCTAGTCTACATACGTACAGACGATTCAGTTTTTTTCTTTTCTTTTTCTCTCCACGTTATCTACCATTACAATCCAAGAGCTTAGCATATTCACTCTCTAGCAGACAATTCCACATTCCAATCCACCGCCAGAATATACAGAACCACACAGCACCACCACCAAAAAATCTACCAAGAAAGATGAAACTACAATTAAAAAAATAAGGAAAGGAGGAGAGGAAATCGTTTGCCGTACCGAACGGGAAGGCGGCTGAAGTGAGACCAGAGCTCGTCGTCAAAACCGGCACGATCGGCCTCTTCATTGTCCGATTCCTTCAGCCGACGGAGAACCTCATTGTACACCTCCAGCTTCTGCCTCTGCTGCCTCCCCTGCGGCGGCGGCGACGGAGACCTCCCTCCCTCCACTGCTCGGCTCCCGCAGCTTTCGCTTTTCTCCTCTGTCGTCGTCGCCGCCGCCGTCGTCATCTCCACCATTAATAGAAAAAAGCGCGCAGCAGCCGGCGACGGAGGTGGATTTCAGCGAGATATAAAAAATTTAGAAAAACAGAATCCGAGTCTCCCGAAACGTTACCGCTTGCAGCGAACCGCCGGCGGGAGAATCGGAAGCTACTGTTACTGGTGGCGATTGTGGTGGCGGTGGGGTTTTTATATATGGAAGAGAACGAGGCGACGGAGATTTGGCGAGGATCCTCTCCTTTTTCTTTTTCTTTACTTTTTAGAGAAAACGAACGGGGAAAATTTTTTGTATTTATAAAGGATTAGGAATGTTGTAACAGGAGCCTAAAATGGCGCCGACGTGGATCTCTAACTTACAGAAGGAAGTATCGGGGTTTTGTTAGTCTACGGTTGAGGCAGGTGGGAGATCCGTGGACCTTCAGGGGGTTGTTACTTGTTAGCCGTTGGATCTAAGATTGGGGGAAAAATTGTGTTAGTGAAAACTCGATTACGTTGTGATTAACTGCTTAAATTAATTGATTAAATTGCCCTCAGAATCAGTGTGGGGATTGCCCCAAGTCCCAACCTTCTCTCTCTACCCGTTTTTTTCTCTCTCTCTCCTGTCTGCCCGAAAGAAAAGGCACAAAGTGGCATATTCCTTGCTGGTGCCACATGTTTTGGATAAGATTTGTGCCTGTCTGGCGCTGACCGGGAAAGACCGGGCTGCCCTCCGCCTTGATTAGTTTAGCTAAACTGCCGGGATTAGATTGCAATAGTAACGGAGATAAACTGTAATGAACTAATTACCCAAAGCCAAAAACAAGTGAAGAGAAAATTGAAGATTTGGAACAATAGACAATAATTTCGTATGTATTACTTATTAGGCTCAGTGGTTGGTTGGCCTTTTGTCTCTCTCTTCAAAATTTCAAGAGAGATGAAACAAAAATTTCCATTTTTTTTTTAGAATCTAAAAATATTTTTTTTTTAGACAATGTATTAGGGTCAAACTTTTACGGAAAAAATTAGGATTGTGTATGACAATGAGAGAGATATTTTGTTGTTTTCCTAACCAAAAAGGGATACTTGATTATAAATTTATAATGTTATAAATATTAAATTGTAATTTTCTTCTTCCATTTATCAAGGCGATTCAAACGAGTCGCAATTTATGTTATGGAAAATACAACACAAATTATTTCAATAATATTTTTAATTGGCTCAATAATGGGTTCCTATATATATGGTCACTTTTACTTAACATACAACAACTTATCAATATCAATAACTTAACCCAACACAATATTTAGTATTATACGATAGAGATAGATAGTCGTTGTCTATCATATAAGTTTTAGCATCTTTGTTAAATTTATTCCATATTCCATCACCATTCGTTCAGAACATCTACTCACTCAATCTGACTCGTACATTGTTCACCTAAAAAATTCTAATCACGTATATCGATTATACATTATCTTATGCAGGAGTCCTCTATGGTATCAAATATTATATTACAGGTTTGCCTATCCCGGTAAATTTGTAGGTATTCTTAGCTAGCTAGCCAGCCTCTAGTAATACTTTGATAACATAAACTAACTACTTATAATAGGGCATATGCCAAGCTTATTCCTTTGTACCTCCTCGCCAATCGCCATCTAGGTTTCTTATTAATTAGTAGTTTAATTTAATTAGTACCTCTAATCCAAGCAGCGCAGCAGTACTAATATTTAATCAATTAACTGGAAGAGGAAACCATGGAGAATTGTTCTATGGGTGTCCACGTTCATGTTGATCCTAAACTTCCCCCACATAAACATGCAAATCGTGGAGAGATTAGGCAAGAGATCTGAACTAAATTGTCTTCTTAATTACTGATGACTGAAAATGCAGCCATAATGATGCCATCGCCAACGCAAAGAGTGATGCAATGTGGATTACAATTTGCTAAATAAACCATTTGATTAACGACTTCCAAATGGAGATTAGCTAGATTCTTTAATTAATCAATAGGGACACGTGCCAATTGGGAAACGGTCGGGGGAAGTCATGGTTCGAGTAGTTGACCTGCACCGGCAGACACCGGATTCGCATCGTCGGAGGAGAATAAACCGGATAAGCGCCGACCGAGCTGGACACGTGGATGCCATGTGGGAGGGAGATGGGTGAGCTGACGTGGAATAAGCGGCTTTTCGAAGCAGCGAGAGGACGGCGGAGGTGGGAAGACGAAGGAATCTCGACGATCTGATCTGTTTTAATTGAGCTCTGCAAATTTGTATTTTGCTCCAGCGAAGTGCGGCGAGTGGTCGACGCCGAGTCAGCGTTATTTTATAATATACTCTTTTTTGGAATTGGTGATATAATGTAATTTAATCATCTAGCTAACTTTTATAACTAGTACTTAATATTATAATTTTCACCAAAAAAAGTACTTAATATTATACCAATTTAATCTACTGATGACTGATGAGTGTTATATATTAATAATTTGATTTGTCAAACCGCCGTTTTTAAAATGGGAATTATAGAAAAGAGGATTGTATATATGGCAGCAAGTGTGTGACAGAAATGCTATATATAGTGGATAGAAATGCGTCTAGATACATGAATATATGTGCATATATAGTACATACATTCTTGATTTAGTCTCAAACTTTTTTTTTTGGTTTCGAAGTGCAATATAACTCTTCCCAGGATTATATTAATCATCAAAATATTGTTTCCCATATGATCTATTGCAACATTGAAGCTAATCGTCTTCTCGTTTAAGAATCTATATTGAACAAAACTCTCGAGTTTCCTTTCTTAAGGTCACTATTTGGCGGTCGGAGACCGAGGGGCATCACTGAATACGGGTATCATGTTCAAGTTCTGGTTGCGTACGCAAACCAATATATCGCCCTGTCCAATTTCCTCGTAAGTAAATACCCATCAAATTCGAGGAGCATATAACTGGAGGCGACGATGCCAAATAGACGAGACTTCTCTTCGACGATGATGACAAAGGAGAAGGAGTGTGAGGACGACAATAAGAACTTTCAACAAATGGTGCTGACACTGGACACATCAGTATTACTTATTAGTAGCCCTATCTAGCTAGCGAATTTGTATATATGTGTGTTTAGCAACAACAAAGAACTTTTTGTAACTATACATCGTTATTTGAACAATTATTTATGTTTCATGAGAATTTAAGGTCGGGATGTTCTTTTGAAAGCAAGGGGCATGATTGATAATTGTCAATGCTATCCAACCGTGTGGAAACTTGCAGTAGTGCTCGCCCTTTTTAAAGGGAATCAATTCAGTTTGCAGTTTGCCGGCCCTTTTTTTATGTCCATGCCTCCATGGATAATTGGATATGCATACAATACAAGCAGGCAACAACTACCTCCACCAGATCGGCGGGTGCGGGTCCACCGGTGACCCGATAGTAGGACATACAGATTGACCGGAGGAATCTCAGATCGATGACGTGGACGGTTCAGATGTACCTAGCTAGCTAGCATTGGTGCATGATATATGACGTTGATGATGACATGTCAGGTTTCACGTTTCATTTTGACGTAGTTTAACGACAGGATAAGATCTGCTGGGGGCCTCTTGGTTGCTTACTTGCTTTCCCATATCCATTCCCGTCCACTTCCCCAAGATTCTTCCTTTCTCAGAAAGTAGAGAATCTCTAGCACTAACTCACTCACTCACTGTTATGAAGAGTCCTGCACACAGTTTAGTTGCTTTCACCACCTGGTTTCTGGGTTGGTGAAACATCAGAATCCCTCCACCACAGGCAAAAATCCATGCAAAGATCTCCTTGCCTTCCGTAGAGGTGCAAAAAGGCAGAGATAGATGGAACTCACTGTTCTGAGAAAGTTACAAATGAGTTTTGTCAGAATTTGCAGGTTGAGATGTCGCCATCTGCATTGCTGCTCCATCAAACAAATCGTTCTGTAGGGTTTAGTAGTAACTTGAAGACAAATGTTCAGAGGGAAATGAAGAATCTCAGAAATGGTAGTCTCTTGTAATTTATATAAAGGCTTCAAATCCTTCTCTATACTCTCTACAACACTGAAGTACCCATATGGAAGAAGCCCAGATTTGTGAAACTTAAATATATGATCCTAAACCAAGCCTTAACAACTACAACAGAACAACAACAATGGCAGCACAGCAGCAGGTAACGGAAGGCAGAGTGCTCGACTCTTGAGGTTCGACGCATAAAAACCGCACCCCTCCCTACCTCCAGGGTGCGGGACTATCCAACACTAAACAAGTCTTACAACAGACCACATGAGAAGAAAGTGTACAGCACAAGTGAAAGGTCATATGCCATCATCAAGCTTTACTCCAGCATCATATGATTTCCATCATCATCGTCATCATCATCATCAGACAACAAGTGAAAACCGTGCTCACCGCCTTCTCCAACGAGCCACCCTCCGATCCCATCAACCTCATTGAACTCTTGAGCGTAACTGCCATCCACGTTATCCCACTGCTCTGGCCCGATCTCCTCACCATGACACGTAACTCGCAGGAAAGGTCGGTTCCTAGCTAAAGCATCTATAATATCTCTGTTCACACTCCCGGCAATTCCCAGCCATCTCAGTCTTGGAAAGTATGGGTTCTTCAACCACTTGTATGCCAGCTGTGTAATGCCACCACAGTTGTAGAGATCCAACAGCCGCAAACAGTTACCATGGCGCTGATCGTCATCCACCTGCATTGACGCCAGTGCCATTATAGATGTATCGCCGATGAGCGGGCATTGTCTGATACGGAGCTCTGAGACGGGAACACGACTCCTTGCAAGAGACAGAATTCCTTCGTCGGAGAGACTCGGGATGTTCGAAAGATCGAGCTCCTGCAGCTCTAGATTTGATGTGTCTTTGAAGAGAACCGTGATGGCTCTATCAGTGAGCCTCTTGCATCCTCTCAAGGACAACGAGGTCAGAGATTTTATGACTCTTTCCCTGAGAGAAGACAATCCGAAGTCGCTTATATCCATACCATCCAATCTCAAGGCTTTCAATTCGGGAAGAGTACCGATAGATTTGAGGGCTTCATCGCCGAGGCTCTTGCATTCACGCAAGTCGAGTACCTTGAGCTGCATGTTGGAGACCAAGTTCCCAATAGCGTGGCTGGTTAGAAGGTAACACCATCTCAGGCTGACATGAGTCAGAGACAAGGATGTAGCTGAGATGTCATGGAACACGAGATCAGTCAAGTGTGTCCCATGACAGACTTTGAGCTTGTATAGTCTGGAGCATGAATGGAGGATTGTTTTGAACCCCGAATCTGTGACACGACAGAAGCCTCCAAGTGATATGCTCTCCAAGTTTGCACACTTGTCAGCCATCATAAGTAACCCGAGATCGTTCACTCTTCGGAAGTATGTGATGAGGTACTGCTGACTTCGGATTAGAGACAAATGTTTCAGCTTGCCGTGCTGATTGACAAGCTCAAGGCCAGAGTTGGTGAGATCAGTTACAATTGTTGGTTCCGTGAAGGGTGCGTCTCGGAGATCAAGGTGGGTTAAGGACAATAGGCCGTTTGATATTGTTGCAACCATTATGTCTGTGATGGAGTCCACTGAAAGGATAAGTTTCTGAATCCCAGGGAGAATGGATGGCTGAAGTGAGTTTGGAGATTTGGGGGCTAGATTTGGAGCGAGCAGGTCGGTTACCATGACCGAGGACACATAGCCAATCTCGAGACATTCAAGTTTCTGAGACGCTGACGCCCAAATTGGGGCGAAATTATGACTAAAGAATAATGAGACATCGAACATCAACACGAGTGCCTGGAAAACAGTGGAGAATATCAGTATCTGAGGTAAACTTGCATAACAAAATTCACATAACAAGATCAACAACAACAACAACAAATCAACCATGCTAGAAGCTATGTATTCAGATAAGGAAGAAAATAGGCCAACATATAATATGTACGCAGAAGGGCAATACCATGACAGTATTCATCATGGAGATTTCTTGCAGTCAATTTCGAACTTGGCGGTTATGTGCATTACAGATTAGAATTTGATATCTAGAAGAATTAGACTCATTATTAACAAAATTGAATACAATTTACCCAAAAAATAAGATCAAGCAAATCAGGGGAGTCATTATATAGAACCAACATCGAGCATTCGACTAACTAGCTCAATGAAGATTTCAACAGGATTTTTCACAATCAAGCCTTACTTCCAACTGCTTGCAACGACTGAGTAAGTCCTCCAAATCAGAAATATGAATGGCCCGCCCTCTTTTTTCAGCCACTGAACCTAAGTAGAGACACCTGAATGAAAGTCACCGATACCAAATGAAATAAACTCTTTAACATCACAGCAATCCATCAACCATAGATTCAAGCAAGTTCATTATAGCTCATCCTCGAGATGCATACATAATCACCATTCAATCTTTACCTCAAATCTGCACAGTTGGAAGCAATTTGGGACAGCAATTTCCCAGTAAAATCAGAGCAGTTGTGCACATACAATTCCTGCAAGGCAGGCTGAGATAGTAAACTGATGGCCGAGTCATCCAGCCGCTCGCAATCCAGTTTCAAGCTTCTAAGATAAGGGTTCCGCGGCAATAATCGCCTCAATAAATCAATTGAAAGCGCAATCTCCTGCAAAAATTAGACCAAAAGGAATTCATATCCCTTAAAAACTGATGCCAGAAACAGATCTGAACCTTCCCAATGCATGTCCAATTCGTCAATCCAAACGACAAAATGCCCAGAACTGTATTAAAACAGTTTCAATAATCCAACTTTCTGGGGAAAGTAGCAATCTTTTTCCGAGAAACCAAAACACGGATCTGTATGGGGAAATCAAAATCGGCTCTTACCAGAAGGTGGAAGTTGGGGATGAAAGCGAAGATATGAGAAGCCGAAGCTCTGAACGCTCTGCAAGTGGAAGCGACGGAGCAAATGGAACCCACGTCGAGCTTCGACATTATGGTGCAGACAAGAGCCTCCGGCAGTCGATCCAGCCGCTTTCCTTCTCCTTCTGCTTCTGCTGCTTCTCCTTTTCCACCTCCGCTTCCTTCGCCGGTCGAATCCATCGGAGCTTAGGGTTGACTTCCGACGATTGCCTAGGGAGGTTATCGACGAGGAGAGTGGGGATTCCTTTGATCCGAAAATGAAGGCAATCGCGTCAAGTGTGGCGGGTTGAAATGGATACTGGTAAATTCGGTATCAGATCACGCGATGCAAAAATTGCTACTCCGGTCACTAAAATTTAGTCTTATCCCAGTTAGACCCCAAAATTATTTTCCAATTGGAAGAGGAAATCCTCTTGTAGACAGAAATCAAATTAGACCCTATAAACTATAAAGCCCTTCTTTATTGCTCTAGGTTTAGAGGGTGATAGAGCGATGGACAGATGTGAAAGTGTCTTTATGAATGCTTGTTTAGCCTGCATGCTTCATATAATCATATACTCATTTACGCATTTTTGGTTGTTTAATTTATGCCAAGAACACAATTCATCATTTTGATAAAACAGTATCAAGAACAATCATACAACACAAGATTTATGTGATTTTTTTGTTCGACGTGAACGAGACTATTCCACAGAGAGCTACGCTCTCAACCGATATTATTATGTGCTATCGCTCTTAGAGTTTTCTTCCAGCACTAAAGTCTCCTTATATAGGGAAAAAATCCAAAAGTACCACTGTTTAGAAAAAAATTTCCAAAAATACCACCCAACCCCAAAAAATTCCAAAAATACCACCCTTATTCAAAAACCGCCATCCCACCCAGCGGTTTGGTCGAAAACCGCTTGTCGGGGGCGCGGTTTTGGACCAAACCGCGGGCCTAGGGGGCGGTTATAAAAAAAAAAATTTTTGGACCAAAACCGCTGGGTGGGGTGGCGGTTTGGCCCAAAACCGCCACCCCAACCAGCGGTTTGGTCCAAAAATTCTGTCGAAACTTCAAACGAACGTAACTTTGCACTCGGGTATCCGATCGTAGCGATTCTTTTTTTCATTTCGCATAACTTTTCAAGATCTACAACTTTTACTAGGATGAAATTTTCAAAACAGGAACTATTTGTGGATATACGGGACCTTGAGAATAACTTTACCTTTACTTTTCAGAAATCCAAGTACATTTTGAAATTATGATTATATTAAAAGTTTTAGATCTTGAAAAGTTATGCGGAATCAAAAAAAAGTTCATGACATTCGGAGTTTGGAGCACAAAGTTATGGCCGCCCAAAGTTTGACGAAAGGCGAGACCCGGCGGTTTGCGGCTTGCAAGATCTCAAAAAGTTTGCGGCCTCCATTTTTTGAATCCGAATCACTTTTTGAGATCTTGCAAGTCTCAAACAGTCGGGTTCCGTCTTCGTCTCGAAAAAACGTCATTTGCCACCCCGAACGGCTTTTTTTATTTCGTCAAACTTTGGGCGGCCATAACTTTGTGCTCCAAAATCCGAATGTCATGAATTTTTTTTTATTCCGCATAACTTTTCAAGATCTACAACTTTTATTATAATCATAATTTCAAAATGCACATGGATTTCTGAAAAGTAAAGGTAAAGTTATTCTCAAGGTCCCGTATATCCACAAATAGTTCCTGTTTTGAAAATTTCATCCTAGTAAAAGTTGTAGATCTTGAAAAGTTATGCGAAATGAAAAAAAGAATCGCTACGATCGGATACCCGAGTGCAAAGTTACGTTCGTTTGAAGTTTCGACCGAATTTTTGGACCAAACCGCTGGTTGGGGTGGCGGTTTTGGGCCAAACCGCCACCCCACCCAGCGGTTTTGGTCCAAAATTTTTTTTTTTTATAACCGCCCCCTAGGCCCGCGGTTTGGTCCAAAACCGCGCCCCCGACAAGCGGTTTTCGACCAAACCGCTGGGTGGGGTGGCGATTTTTGAAAAAGGGTGGTATTTTTGGAATTTTTTGGGATTGAGTGGTATTTTTGGAAATTTTTTTTTAAACAGTGGTACTTTTGGATTTTTTCCCTTATATAGCTCAAGACCTTTCACAAGCAACTAGGGTTCAGGATTTTACCAATTACAAAAAAAAAAAAAGAACAATATTAAAATAATTTACCCGTATTTTTCCCCACTTCTGAAGTCATGGGCAGATATCACGGGTGTGACTTTTAGTTGGTCATGACCGTGACATCCCTTTGTTCTTCTTGACTCTTTTCCAATGTTACGGGGGCAGATGTCACGATTGCGACTTTGCAGGCGATTGTGACCGTGACATTTGGTGTAGTCTGTAATATATTCAATGGCATGGCATGGAAGATAAGAAGAGTCATTGATCCATTGAATAAAGACTATACTCTTGTTTCCCTGCTCCATGCCATAAAAAAATAAAAGATGATGGAAGAGACGACGCGTCTTTGCACTAGCAAACTACTCTGTGTAAGTGTTAACGTTATGTTAGATATAAAATGACCCATTCTCAACCTCAACAAATTAAATGCAGACACTTAGCCTATTCTCAAAACAAACTATTTGAATTTGGAAAACAACAACTTTTAGAACGCTTTCAAAAAACACTGGATTGCCAAGCTATTCCTTATGATCCTTCCGGTGTTGAAACGGATCAACGACCAACGTGGTTGTTTGTATTTCATTTTCTTTTTCCAAGTCAAACCCTTCTTATAAAGCACTCACTGACTTACTTACTGCTGACCCGGTGATATATATATTCCTAATTGCACCAGCAAAGCTAATCACTTTGCAGGTTGGGAGAAGCATTTTTAACTATGTTAGATTCTTATATTTGGATTGATTTGTCTTTTCCAATATGTTTGTGACTTGGGATGTAATTTATCCAATCGCGACACAAAAATCACAATCCAAAACCTTTGCACTTAGTACAAAACAGTCACAAACTTTTAATTTGTAACCATTTGATAACAAAACTTTTTTACTTAGAACAAAAAGGTCACAAATTAAATAGTGTGACCATTTCATACCAGTTCAAACTTTTGTTACCGTGTCGTTGCAAATTAGACTTTTGGTGACCGTTTTGTACAAATTAAGTTCAAAAGTTTGAACGCTCAATCACCGTTACAATTCACTCTAGTTGTATGGTGGTTTTGTTAATGTATGTGAATGATATTATGTTGTTTAGGATGACAATGAGAGAACTCAATGGCTCACAAACGGGTTCCAGACTGCTTTTTAGTTGAAAAAACTATGTCTACTTTCTTACTTTCTTGGTATCGAAATTGAAAGGTCAACTGAGGGCATTCTTATTTGGCAAAGCAAATATGTCGATGCACACATGACCTGGCATCTTATATGTCGTTCAAGTGGTTAGTGTCATATACTTAACGAACAAACTACCCGACCTCAAAACATGACCAACATTTAATTTGTAACGATTTGGTAACAAACCTTTGAACTTAAAACAAAACGGTCATAAATTAAATAGCGGTGACCATTTTATACAATTTCAAAGTTTTGTTACCGTATTGTTATAAATAAAAGGTTTGTGACCATTTTGTACTAAGTACAAAGGTTTGTTTCTAATTACCCCAATCCAATTAGGAGACAGCAAAGAACTGCAGCCAGCGGCGGTTTATAAATTATGGAGCAGGGGAGGGATTTCAAACCTCTCGCCCTTTCGACGTTCGCAACATCGATCTCGCATGCTCTTCCCGCCATGGGCATGGCGGCCGACGAGAACTGCAGCAAGGGTCGGAGACTAATTAGCTTCACCTCCGACGGACGCCGCCTTCTCCGTTGCGAAACCGGTAAACGACCCAAAACCCGTTCAAATCCCTCAAACCCTCCTCTTCCTTCAACCATGACCCAACTCCAAGACGACCTCCTCGTCGAAATTCTGGCCCGCCTCCCGGACGCCAGGTCCGCCTTCCGATGCCGATCCGTCTGCAAGCGGTGGCGCTCGCTCATCTCAGATCCCCTGTTCCGCCGGCGCTTCGTTTCCCATAAACAGAGCAGCGAATCATCAGGTGGTTGCAGCGGCGGAGAACAATCTCTTGTGCTGTCGTCTCACGACGCTCAGTCCGTCACGATGAGCTTTCTCCCCGTGCCCGACGACCTACGGCCATACTTCTCTGTTCTGAGCTCGTGCGAGGATCTGGTTTTGTGTGGGTTTGATGTCTCGAAGAAGAGTGGTGGGGACGATCAGGATGAATCGGTGAGGAGGACGTTCTTCGTCTGCAATCCGTTTACGAAGCAATGGGTCGCTCTCCCTCTAGCGCCTGCTGCTGATAGGCAGGCGGAGAAGGATTGTCCTCTCTCGACGGTAATAGTTTGCCAGTCCGACGGCAAAGGCCGAGCCTTGATCGATCGATTTCGCGTCGTGTGTTTTTCTGGATCGGGTCACGCTCCAGATGTGGACTTGTTCTGTTCGGAGTCTGGGGAATGGGCGAAATATGCTCTTGATCCGAATCGCTGCTTGAAAAACAAAAGGTTGCAATTGAGAGAGCAGTTGCTTGCGTTTAACGCAGAATGGTTCTTAACAACGGCGTGGTTCAATGGCAAGTTGCACTGGCAAACCATTGTTGGGCACAAAATTGCTGTGTGGGATCCTTTTCGCCCCGAGTCACCACCAACGTTTATCTATGGTGAACTTGTCGACCTAGACCAGGTTTGGATCTCGCAAGGTGCTTTGTACATGGTTAATTTTACACAGTTCTTGTACGTCTGGAGGTTGGAGGAACGAGACGGTGACATCACAGGGAGGAAGCTATACGCGTCGGTGCTTCTGAAGGCGTGCAAGTTTGTAGGATCAAACAGCGAGAAGTATTCTCATTTGAAGTGGAAGCTGCATGGCGTATGTGCTCTGCATCCGAATGACCCGGACATCGTCTTCTTAGAATTTTATCATCGCGAGTTATGCACACGACGCCAGTTATGCACACGACGCGAGTTATGCACACACCGTGTTTTGTTCTCGCTGAATATCAGAACGTGTGGGAAACATAATTATTAGCTGTTTTCGGTTATTTCGTATTAGTGTCGGTTTTTATTGATTGGGGGATTATTTGGGTATTTGGGGGAATAAACAGGTAGTTAATTGTTATGTTTTATTATTCGGGTAGCAGATAGGAATTAGACAGGTTATATATTCTGTAATAGGGTCTTATTTTGGGATTAAGCAATTACAGAACCAAAAACCTAAAACCTAACTCTCTCTCCTCTCTCTCTCCTGCGGATTCTCTCTCTCTTTTCCCCTCCCAAGCTGCGGCAGCAGCAGCCCCAAATCCTCCCCTCTTCTTGTTCTAAATCCCTCATTCTAATCCCTAGTTCGATCAATCCCTAATTGATCTAGCTAAATTCCCCAATTCCCAACCTGTAGGAAACCTTGTTTCCTACATCTGGTATCAGAGCCTGGCTCGAGAGTGAGTTCATCTGAACTCTTGAACCAGGGAAGGCAACGATGGTGACAACGAAATCGATGAAGGCGGCGGAGGAGAAGGCGCAGGCAGCCGAGAAGAGCACCGGGACGGGCGGCGTTGATCGCGATGAGGTGGTGATGGAGGACCTCACTGAGCTGGAGGCGGTAAAGGAGGTGGTGCACGAGCACTCTGAGGCGTTGGCCAGGCTCGAAGAAGGCCTGGCAAGAGTGCAGGCTGATGCGAAGAAGGATGCTGACGATCTGCGTCAGAGGCTGGAGGATATGATGAGGGCAATTACCTCGCTGCAGGCAAGGGGGAGCGGACCAGAGAGGGCGCCGAACCCGGAGGAGTTGATGAACGAGGGAGGCGGCGGACCTGGCGCGGCGGAGGAGTCGGCGGGCGGAGGGAGCACCGCGGCGGCGGCGCTAGCGGCGCCGGCGGGGGCGAAGGCCGCGGCGGCAGGGGCCGGGGGCGGAGCCGGCGGCGGGTCGGGTGCGGCGAGGGCGGCGGCGGCTCAGGCGGGCGCGCCGAGTGGAGGGGCCGAGGGGAGCAGGGTGGCGAACACCGGGCCGGCCAGGGCTGATCGGACTCCATTGGGGCTGGGCTCGGGCCTGTTACCGACACCCACGGCCCAAGAAATTGCGGCCCGAAAGGGAAAGGCTAAGATGGCTGGGTATGACGCAAATGGGCCTCCTATGAATGGTGGGCCGGGACAGATGGGCCAGTATACGAGGGTCCATAACGGGCTGGGATGGCTGGACCAGGAATATGGGCTCGAGTATGACCAACTAAGCTTGGCGGGCCAGCAGGCCCTGTGGGCTGAACAGGAGATGAATCAGAAGGGAGCGGGTGGGCCGAGCAGGGCCGCCGACCAGGTGGGCCCAGGCGGGGCGGCTCCTTTTGGGCCGGGACCGGTGGACGGGCCAGGAGGGGGGCGGACCGAACCGGAGCGGACCGGTATTGGTCGGACCAGTGTCGATCGGACCGAGTTGAGCCGAACCGGACCCGGGCGGACCGGGATGGGTCGACCCGAGGTAGGTCGAACCGGGCATCGACCGAGTCCAACTACCCAGCCGATCCGGAGGGCGGACAGCAGGGGTCCAGGAGGAGGAGAGGGCCATTATGAGGCGCCTCATGTCCCAGGCGAATACCCGAATCAGCCGGGTTGCTATCCGGGTGACTATGGACAGGGGAATCCTAACCAGATGCAGTGTTCTCAGTGGGGGCAGCCATGGAGGACGCCAGGAAATGACAGGTATGGGTCCCAGTATCCAAACTATGAGGGAATGGATGGGATAGTTTTTCGAGCTAAGCCTCCTACCATTGAGTTTCCAAAATTCAATGGGCAGGAGGATGCAGGTCTTTGGTTGTATGCAGTTGAGAGGTGGTTTAAGAACCACCCAATTCCGGAGGAGAGGAAAGCCTACCTGGCATCGTTCTATCTGGAGGGCGATGCGCTCCAATGGTGGGAGTAGATGGAGCGATCATATGCAGCAGCAGCAACCTTGATCACCTGGCCCATGTTTCAGGAGGAGCTCCGTTATCAGTTTGGGAAGTCGGATGGGTGGGCTCCTGAGCAGTTGGCTAAGCTGAAGCAGACCGGCACAGTGGCAGAGTACCGCGCGGAGTTCTTCAAATTGGGGAACCAGTGCAAGGGGGTCTCGGAGGACACCTTGGTGGGGCTGTGCATGGCGGGCCTCAAACCCGAGATAGCAGCGGCAGTCAGGGTGTTTGAGCCCGATTCTGTGAAAACTGCTTTTCGTCTTGCAGGTCATAAGGAGGAAGAACTGGCTAGCTGGAGAAGCACCATTGGCCGCTTTTCAAAGCCCAGTGGAGGAGGAGGGAGCAGCAGTGCTAGTGGCGGCACAGGAGGGGCACCCGGGGGCTCGACTGGGGCCAATGCGGGCGGTGGTGGACCAGCTCCGGTGGCCAGGGTGGGGCCGCGGGCCATACCGAAGGGATTCGTGCGACTGACGCCGGCAGAGATTGAGCAAAAGAGGCGGGAGGGCAAGTGCTTCAACTGTGATGGCCGATTCACCATTGGTCATCAGTGCCCGAAGCCGGATTTGATGATGCTGGTTGGGCGCTGGGAAGATGAAGCAGAAGAAGAGGCTGAGGATGATGGAAATGGAGAGGAAGATGCCTAGTGAGCTGGAGGAACAACCTTGGGGACAAGGTTGTTTTTCGAAGGAAGAGGGGATGTGGGAAACATAATTATTAGCTGTTTTCGGTTATTTCGTATTAGTGTCGGTTTTTATTGATTGGGGGATTATTTGGGTATTTGGGGGAATAAACAGGTAGTTAATTGTTATGTTTTATTATTCGGGTAGCAGATAGGAATTAGACAGGTTATATATTCTGTAATAGGGTCTTATTTTGGGATTAAGCAATTACAGAACCAAAAACCTAAAACCTAACTCTCTCTCCTCTCTCTCTCCTGCGGATTCTCTCTCTCTTTTCCCCTCCCAAGCTGCGGCAGCAGCAGCCCCAAATCCTCCCCTCTTCTTGTTCTAAATCCCTCATTCTAATCTCTAGTTCGATCAATCCCTAATTGATCTAGCTAAATTCCCCAATTCCCAACCTGTAGGAAACCTTGTTTCCTACAGAACGGTAGAGCTTACGTTCGTCGCAGAGCAGACGAGTGATGCGGAGCGTTGGCGAGTGTTCCACCCTAGGTTCACTTGCTGGCCTAGCCCGATTCCGAATTACGAGAAACTGCAGGGTGCCTTCCACGGCAGCTACACGCGGTTGGTTCATAGCATCGAATCAGCTCAGGCGCGAACATCTGCTCGTGAGTATTCTTTTTTGCTCGTAACAATTTCACCTTTCCAGCACTTGTTGCCTGCCTGCCTGCATTTGCTTCCTTCCTACCACACTTTGTTTGCTTTTGTGTGTGTATTCTCTGATTTTACTTTCTAGTTGTGTGGTCTCTAACCCCCATGCCTCTTCTGGTCCATGTTCTGGCTGGTTGAATCATTCAATCACAAGCTGACTGGCATTTTGTCGAGTGCGGCGAGCAGTTGGGTAGACGACCAAGGAAGCACAGCAGATCGCCATCACCACAGCGCCTCAGGAATCCGGCTAAGAAGCAGAAGATGGTGGAAGGCAGGGGTGATCAATTGGTTGAAGTCGTTCATGCTCTCCAGGCTATACCAGACGTAGATGAACAACTGATGTTGGATGCCTGCGATTTTTTCGAAGACGACGACAAGAAAGCAGCAATGTTCTTAGCATTGGATGGTAGATTCAGAAAGAAGTGGCTGCTAAGGAAACTTTGTCCAAAGGACTCTGTATAAAGAGAGCCAACGGTAGAGAGGATCTGTTTAGCATATTCTGTATTGCTTCAGTAATCTGGAGACGGAAATTGTTTATTCATAGCTATCTTTCACACAACTTTTCTCTGTAACTGTGGCGGACGTCGGAGATGAACCATTAATATTCTGCGGATCATGAAATACTCTGTTCGAACAGAGGAGAACAGGGGAGCCTCTGCTTAGGCTAGTGACTTGGGATGCAATTTATCCTATCCATCCTAATCCGATTAGGAGACAGCAGAGAAGTGCAGCAACGAGCAACCCACGGTTCACAAAATTAAGGAGTAGGGATTTTTCTAATTCTCAATCTCTTGCTCTGCCGACTTTATCAGATATAGATGATCAACTGGTGTTGGATGCCTGTGATTTTTTCGAAGGCGACGGCGAGAAAGCGGCGATCTTCTTAGCATTGGACGGTAGAATCAGATGGAAGTGGCTGCTAAGGAAACTCTGTCCAAAGGACTCTGCATAGAGGGGATGTAATTGACCTCTCGGAACAATTTGCTTTTCGATCTTTTGCATTCTGCGCTGAATCACTTCTAGCAGTACAATTTCATTTCCAAACCATCCTTCATCTAAAGGCAAAGACCAAAGAAGCAAGCTTTAAACCAACTTAGAATCAAATCAATTCACCCAACACTAAACCCTCTGTCAGCAGCATAATCCACAAACCCATACAGAGGCAGAACAGCCTCACCATACTTCTCAAAACCACCCAACTCCTTCTTAGCCTCGTCTCTCAGCTCCTCGGCTTTCTCCATGGCTTTGTCAACTCCATAAACACCAACATAGCTCTTCCCACTTCTCTCCTTCTTCGGAGCTCCATCACCCGATTTCGCCTTCAGGATATCATCCACAACCTGATACAGCACCCCAACAGCTCTCCCGTACCTCCTCAGCCTCTCGACTTCCTCGTCCTCCGCCCCAGCCAGCAACCCACCGCAGACCGCGGAGCACTGAGCCAGCTCGCCGAACTTCTTCTCCTGGATGAATTCGATGGCGCTTGAGATGGACGAGCCGCTGCTGCCGCTGCTGTTGAGGTCGAGGAACTGGCCCGCTGCCATGCCCGTAGAGCCCACGGTTCGAGCGATCTCAGCCACCACACGGAGGAGGCGCCTCTCTGGGACGAGGTTTTTGGGAGTGTTGTGGACAATGTGGTGGAATCCGAGGGGGAAGAGGGCATCTCCAGCGAGGATGGCCATGTCCACTCCGTAAATCGTGTGGTTCGATGGCTGGCCTCTTCGTGATGGGGCGTCGTCCATGCAGGGGAGGTCGTCGTGGATCAGGGAGGCTGCGTGGACCTGTTTAGACAGGAAAATGCAGTGATGAGATTGATCCAGCACGACAACCATGGTTAAGCATGGTCATCCATCAACACAAAGAAACCAACTTTTCTGAAATTTGGAGTCATGGAACTGGTTTTAACTACTGTGTAAATACCAACAAATGCATTAACAGGCTCAGTTAGGAAAAATGGAAACCTGCAATGCGAAAAAAGAACAAGATTCACTCTTGCTATTCTTTCTGACTGCTCGAGCTATTAGAACGAATCCATACTTCACATGTTATCAGAGCTCATTAGAGCTATTCTGGCAACCCCAACGGGTGATTAAACACATTGTATGCAGATTGTGTACAATTCAAGCTCATAGGTATACAAAGATTCATTCTTGAATGATCTCACAAGCTCAAGTTATTGAAACGAATTCGTCGCCCTGCCCACGAACAGAACAAATGCAGTATGTAAATTACACACAGCTCTAACCTAGCTTATGATTCTCCAATCGGACTACAACACTGAACCAAATTCAATGTGGAGACAGTGAGTGGAAAAGGCACACCATTTCGAGGGCACATGCGGTAGGGAAAGCGGCGAGGCGATTGACGCCGAAGAGCTCACAAGCGGCGACGCACATGACCGGCGGAGCCCGCTTGGCGCCGTCGGCGAGCGTGGAGTACCTCATGGCCTCGTAGATCCTTTCCGGGTACTGAATTGGAATCGCCTGGTCCAGATTCTGGTTGATCTCCTTCCTCAGGGAGGTCCAATACCCCTGCAAATCGAACTGGGTCGTGTTGGATTCGATCGAAACCGACGCCGACGAAGAGATTGAAAACCGAATCGGTAGTTTCCTCCGGATTCCGAGCGCCGGCGACGGACGCAGCGATAACGGTGGCGAAATCACGGCAGAGAAAGCCATTTTCTTTTCCCCTCTTCAGGATTTCATGGAAGAGAAGAGGGCTCTGAGATAGGTTCTTCAATGGCAGTTGGCTGGGAACTTGGAAGTGAGGGTCTGAGCCCTGAGGGAGTTGGAAAATGGAAATGGTGAGTTGGTGATGACGTGGCTGTCACTGAGATAGGATTGGGAAGACAGAGAATTATAAGCTGCGGGAAGTGGTGAGCCCGCCTCATTTAGAAGCCTCTTATTGGGCCTTTTATGGTAAGTGTTTGGGACCGTGATAGCTTGTAAGCCCATTTATTATTTGGGCTGCTCTTCCTCTGCTCCTAATGTTTAGGCCTTGAACCCATGAATACGATACCCCAAAAACAAGGACAGACGTGTTTTTCTTTGGGATGATTAATTAATTTTAGGGGTGATTTGATCAGCAAAAATGAAATAATTTGGAGATTTGAGAATGGTGTATTTCAAGTGATCGATTCTTTAGGTTACGATTTTAATGCACACATAATTTTATATGTGTAACAGAGTATACACTTTTTAAAGAATATATTGTTTCAAAAATACGTACATAAAATGATTATTATAGTTTTTTCCCCTGAGAAAAGTTTGAAATAAAATACACAATCTTGCCCTCGAAACCTTCCCGAAATAATGATATTTATAAATCATAATGTATCATATAAATATACATTATTTATCATAAAATGTATACATAATGATGACAGCCCAAATTAAACCCACAACACACCATCGTAAAACTGAGATGAAATCCAGAAAACTCCACATGGTTCTTCTTTACCAATCTAAAAACAAAAACCCAAAACGAAAAAAAAAACTCTGTTTGAGCCTGCAGATCATAATTCTCAAGGGAAGGCTTGAATGACCGACTGAACAGCCTCGATGGGAGTGACGACGACTCTGGTAAACCCAGCTTGGCGAAGAAGAAGCTGCCATTCTTTCAGAGTCCTCTCTTTCCCCAAGGTCGTGTGCGCCATCATGATCATGTCCAGCATCAGCCTCACGTGCTCAAGCCTGTTGTTCCCATCTTTGCCTTCTTTATCAGTACTAGTATCATGAACCACAGCTTCCACTATTATCAGCTTTCCGTTCTCCTTCCCTGCAATGGCTTCTCTGCACTTCTTCAGTATCCGGATGCAGTCTTCATCGTTCCAATCGTGTAGCACTTGCTGCACCGAAGCATATACAACGCCAGTGGTATATGATTTATAATTGAGCTTATTCTCGAGAATTCGAATTATTGTGATTAACATGATTGTTAACAATGATGCCGGAATTTTAGATGACCATAACGGGAGAAAAAATGTGCCAAACCTGGTCGTGACCCTGGAATTATCATAAAAAAAACATCCAGCCCTATAGAGTCAAGCTACAAACGGTCCTATTTTCTCTTGACCCTGTCTGACCCGTTTGAGTCGGACTGGGTTGTGTCGGGCTAAGTCTGCAGGTAGGTAGGTCCAAATTAACAAATTGATATTTGAAAATTTACATTTTGGTACTCGAATCTATCTTTTCTTACAATTTAGTACCTAGGTGATGGCAAAATTACATTTGAGTACCTTCAAATGTTTGCATTATAGTACCAAAACTTTTAACTCTTTCAAACAGATCCAATCTTTTGGTACGGGAAATTTCAAATCACTAATTGTTGTTATGGGTTATTATAGGGCCAAAAGTCACCCAACCCTAAGTTGATTCGACTCTACCTGATCCTTACATGGTCTAAAGATGAACGGACTCTAAAATGACCATATAGACAAATTAACTCAGCCTGACCCTCAGGATCGGGTCTGACTAGGCTGGGCAATTTATGAGCATTCAGGACAAGGCTTACACTTTTGAGCAGACTTTCATTTGAAGGAATGTGGAGTAAGTGGTATGTATATATATGACCGTAATTGAATCATTTTTTACAACTCGAATTATTAACACCAACTAACTTGACAGGCTAGAAAAGCAAAGTACTAACCATGATGAACACGGCGTCGGCTTTTGGAACACGGTCAAACATGTCGCCGCCGACATGCTCCACGCCCGGAGACTCAATCGCCACAGAGACGACATGGGGGAGGTCGAAGTTAATACCTTTGGTGATCGAAGGAAACCCCTTCACCAGCAAACTCACGGCGGTTCCTTCACCGCCGCCGACGTCAACCACGGTTCCGACCCCGTCCATCAGCTCAGGGCAGCCTCGGATTATCGCCGGCAGGGTCGACCTCGCGATGCAGGACATCGCACCGTCGAAGAGCTTGCTGTGGCCTGGATTCGCTTCCGTGTATTCGAAGAGGGATTTCCCGTGAGCTTGATCGAACGGCGGCGGCTTCGGCTTCTCGCCCGGCGGTGGTGATCGGACGGTGGCGCTGAGGTAGTGCCACGGTGCTAGCATCACCGGCGTGCTTTCCAGGAGTAGGAGATCGGCCATGGACTTGCCTACACATGGTCATTGGAACATTAGACGTCGTTCAAAACCAGACCGGATTCTTAACCGAAAAAGTTAACGAATTATGGTTCAACGATTGACTGTTATAGAATCGTTGGTTAACCATTGATATAACCGTACATGCACTAAACATAAACAATTTCAAATCCATATAATCTATCACCAAAAATTTCTAACAAAACGTTCAAACTATCTCTCAAAATAAATCATAATTTTTCTTTATTGATTTTAGTGACAAAGATAAAATTAGGCTAGTAATCAAAGTAACAATCGATAGTTAACCCGATAAATCAGACAGGAGAAGCATAAATAAAATTGGTGTTTGAGGCTAGATGGTTTTAGTTTACGTTAATTTTTTTTTTAAATCGGGGTGGTTCATATAATTTCATGTCAAACTGTTAAAAAAAAACATCCAATCAAATGAACCAAACCGCCAGTGTAACTGGTTTAATGGTTCTACCGGCCCACACATTGCTCCGATTCGATTCTCATAACAATTGAAACCCTATTTAGCATTACATAGTTACTAAAATATGATGAGTTCCGTAATTTATACGTAAGCTTACTTTACTTTATTAAATTAATAGTACATGTAATAGTACCCAAATAGTCATAAAACATATGAAATTAATTATTTTAAAACAAATAAATGTAAAAATTACACCCAAATTATTAATTTAATACAGTAATACGAATATTTAACGTGTTACGCGGGTTGTAATACGTGTAGCAATAATACGATAACAAAAAATTTCAGACGCATAAAATATATACTCATATATGATATTAATCGAAGCATACTTAGCAAAACTTACCATCCTGCCGAGCAAGAAGCCGGCGAGAGAGAGGCGTCAGCGAATACCCCACGCCACCTCCGCCGTCGCCGGCGGGCACCTCCCGGAAAACGCGGTGGTGGACCAAGAACCGCATGATTCGGGACAGGTGGGCCGGGTCGCAGCCCAAGCCCGAGGAGAGCTGGGCCAGCGTCGTCGGAGGGCACTCTCCCTTGTTGTGGCTCTCGATGAAGTCGGCCACGCCGAGCTCCACCGCGCATTTCACCACCGCCATCCTCGTGAAACCGAACACGTAGCTCCATATCTCGATTCCCGCCTCCAATTCCTCCTCCGCCGCCTCTTGCTGTCCATCTCTGGCCGGCCCCGAACCGTCGGCAGCTTGACCAATAATCGAGCCCATCTTGAACCGAACCGAATCGAACCGTTTTACAAAAAGAGATATGGCTAGCTACGTACGTATGTTTGTGTGTGAGCCCGGCTCCGGTTTATATAAGGAGGGATGGGATGAGTTAAACATTCAAACGTGTTGTGTTTCGGTACTGTTGTTCTAAGAAGTTAGTTACTATACAAACGTGTTTAATTAGGTGGAAAAGGAAATTACTGTAACATGTGGGTAAATAATAATGACAATCTAGGTAATGATTTGCCGGAGACGCGGAGGGACCATCGCGAACAACAAAAACGAACCAGCTTTGGATTAGGTTTGATTGCGGCCAATTAATTAAGCAAACTAGATAGACCATGATGTTAAGAGTGTGGTATAAGATCGAACATAACTTTCTTCCAACAACTCGAGTTATTGGAATTAACTGGTTTATGACATGGTATCAGAGCCTAGAACCGAAAGGTCATGTGTTCGAATCTCCACGGCACCCAATATTAACAGTTTATTAAAGCACAAGGTATGGTGGGCCTGTGCAAACTTCAAGCCCGTGAGTTGGCTTTCGTTTGAGGAGGCGTGTTAGAGTGTGGTATCAGAGCCTATAACCGAAAGGTCATGTGTTCGAATCTTCACGACCCTTAATATTAACAGTTTATTAAAGCACAAGGTATGGTGGGCCCGTGCAAACTTCAGGCCAATGAGTTGGCTTTCGTTTGAGGGAGCGTGTTAGAGTGTGGTATAAGATCCGGCGATCTAATTCAAAATACGATTGACGCTCTATAGTGATGCGAACATGCTTTTTCCGATCCATGCGAAACTTTACCAATCACAAAACTGGTCCCAAGAGAAAGCTCTTTCTCATCGGGATTTCTCTATCGATATTGAGATTAAAAATTTCACATTAGCTAGGATATGAAATTCCGATGCGCGCTATAGGATAATTTTGTTAACTAATTAAGCTTCCCTACATAGCACGTACGTACTTTTCAGGGAGATTAAGGGAAATCTTCATTGGACTCGGATGTCGGCTGATCTCATTGGTTGCCCTTTCCTGGTCACAAAAGACACAAAAAGCTAGAGAAATATGTTTCATTAGTGGTTAATGACAATGTGATTCACAATCAGAAAATTCGTTTATGCATGGCAGCTCAGCTTCCATTGTGGTGACCGTACATGTGCTTCACATTATTGCTATCCTTTTATTATTCGTACAATTTTTCATATTTAAATCGCAGTACAATCATTTCATACAGATAAAATGTTAGAGTTTGTATCCAAGTAGAAAGATACCCACTAGAAGAAGAAGAAGAAGAAACGAGTACAAGTAGTTTATAAAACTTCTTTAAAAGTCAGCGTATATTGCAAGTTTAGTCATTGGGATTACTAAAAAAGATTTCGTTAAATACTAAATTTTTTCAAGTTTACAACTAAAATTATTTTATTCCATTTAACAAAAATAATTGTTAAAATTTGGTGACTCGACATTTTTGTTAGCCATGTCGTTAAAAAAAAAATTGACCGTGTTAACGGAAACTAATGGTTTGAAGTTTAACCGGCGTCTTCTTATAATTAGTTAACGCTGTGCTAGAAGCTATTTCTTTAAATGAGCCTCAACTTTGTTTCAATACCTGGGTTAATATTTTGACTGAATTTGATTCAGACCCAGACAAATTAAATGAACCAAACATGCTTTTAGTCCGACTTTAAATCTCAAATTTTCTTTGATTTTGATAGTGTCTTATCTCTCTTTTATCTTGTTCTAGACCAAACTAACCGATGGCCACATTTAATCCTGAGGTCAGTATTTCAATCATTGTATATGCAAACAGAATTAACTTCGTTGCACAAATGACTAGCGTCTTGGTCATTTCAAACGGATCATACTGTGGATTACACCCAAAAAAAAATAACGACCAAACTAGTAGTTTAGATTGGGGGAGAAGATGTAAAGCATCCATGAAAGCCCCGTCCTTTAATTATGATTAGGGGTGGGCGACGAATTATATTCTAATCGCTGTTTCGATTGAAACGAATCAAATATACTTTAATTTGGTTCTGATCCTATAAATTATCTTAAATATGAAGGAAAAAAAGTGGACCGAAATTCAAATTGGATCGACCAAATCAAACCAAATAAACCAAACATTGTTTTTTTCCCGGCTTTGGTCCTCAACATTCCTTTGATTCTGGCCATGTCTTATCTTTGTTCAATCTAGTTCTAGACCAAACCGATCGATGCCCATCCTTAATCTTAACGTTTATTTTCCAATCCTCGTCTATGCAAATAGAATTAACTTCGTTGCACAATCGACTACCGATTTCGTCATTTCAAGCGGATCATATATTGGATCAAACACCCTGAAAAGTGAAAACAACAACCAAAACCTACATTGGAGGAAGAAGAAGAAGTCGAGCATCCATGAAATAAAAGCACCACCAACAACAAGCAAAACGCCATGAGACAATGGCTCTCAAAAAGAGCCACCTTTTTTTTTAGAAACCAAATAATTAAGCACCAAAATCACAACCAAACCACACTTTGATTACACATTGATTTCAGCTTCAGGGGAATGCTTGAATGACCGATTGAACAGCATCGATGGGCGTCACAGTGACTCGAGTAAACCCGGCTTGATGAAGAACAGACTCCCATTCCTTCAATGTCCTCTCTTTCCCGCTGTTGGTATGAGCCATCATCACCATGTCGAGCATCAGACGAACGTGCTCCAGCTTCCCATCTCTCTCCTGATCAACCACTGCTTCTGCTATGATCACTCTGCCTTTCTTCTCTGAGATGGCTTCTCTGCAATTCTTCAGTATCTTGATGCAGTCTTCGTCGTTCCAGTCATGGAGAACTTGCTGCAGAGAGAGAGAAGATTGATCAAGCCACTCACGAATAACTCCGAAAAAAGGGGTGGTCGTGTGCTGTAACGGAATGAGAAATCGATAATGAAAAAAAGTAAAGAACATAAACTTTACACCGTCCACGGACAACAGAAGCCAGTTTCACCATGATTAACCCGTAACCCGATTAACCTACACAGGCTGCGGATACTAACCATGAGGAAGGCAACATCAGCTTTGGGAACACTCTGAAACATGTCGCCACCAACATGCGCCACACCTTTAGATTCCGGCGCCACGGCGACGACATGAGGGAGATCGAAGTTGATCCCATGAATCCAAGGGCAGGATTCGACGAACAATCGCAGAGCCGTCCCGTTTCCTCCTCCGACATCCACCATGGTCTCCACTCCATCGAGCAAGCCAGGGGAACCCTGAACAATGGCCGGCACGGCCAGCCTGGCGTTGCAGGCCATGGCATCATCTATGAGCTTGCCGTGACCGGGATTGTCCTCAGCAAACTTCCACACGTCCTCTCCGCCGTGCGCCTGCTCGAAAGCCGGGGCGGCGGAACCGTCCCGGACTCGTGAGCTCAGGAACAGCCACGGCTCCAGCATGACGCGACTGCCCTCCAGCAGGAGGAAGTCCGCCATGCTGTTGTTGCCGCCGCTGTTGTTGTCGTCCCCCTCCCGTCGCCTGATCAGGCGACGGGAGAGGGGCGTCTGGGAGTACCCCACCACCGCCGTGCCGTCGGAGTCGAGCTTCTCCTCGAAGATGCGGTGGTGGGTCAGGAACCGCATGATCCGCGACAGGGAGGGTTCGTCGCAGTTCAGTACGGACGAGAGTTGGCCCAGTGATAACATGGAGTCTGGTCCGTGGTTCTCGATGGCGTCGGCTATGCCGAGCTCGACCGCGCACTTGACCACCGCCATCTTGGTGAAGCCGAAGACGTAGCTCCATATCTCGACTCCAGCTGCTGCCTCTTCTTCATCTAGCTCTTTTTCTAGTTTCAGTTCCCTCATCTTTTTGTTTATTGGGTTCAAAGTTGCTCTGTTTTTGGCAAGTTTTCTCACTCACTGTTTCGAGAGAGCTCTGACACTTTTCTTATAATTGCAGAGAGACGTGTGGTGATTTACGAGTGCCCAATATTTTAAGCTGGTAAAGGACACCAACTTGGGATAAATGAAGGACATGCAGTTTCACGTTTTGATCATTTGATGGGATGAATGGTTGGTGGGCTTATAATTTCACTCGAGAACTGCAGACATCTTTTGACCCTACGTGGCTATGATTGCTCAGCTTTGTTAATGTTATTTCGTTTTGCTTGGTTAATTATTGGTAATTCAATAGGTTCGGCTAATACTAACAATTAGTATTCACCAAAAAAAAAAATTGTTGCATGCTCAGTGACTGTTTTCTCTTTACATTGAGGTGAATACCTTAATCTTTCTGATATGAGGAAGGACTGAGTTTGTGTCTGGGGAAAACTAGCTGGAAGGCATAATCCGTTTCATAGCAAAAGCAGACTTCAGCTTCTCCACTTCAGAGAGTAGGGAGGAGTTTGAATCACAAGCTTCTGCAAGCACCTCGAATCTCTTCGCCATTCGGCTGCACTCGTCGTTCTGATCATCATCCGGCCTCTCCGGCGAGGGAGATGTTGATGGGAAGTTATACTGTATCAGCTCCAGCATCATAACCTGTGCACAAAGAGACAATGGAAAACGTCGGTTTATAAATATGAGTGTTCGAATCGCATGCCAATAAGTACTACCTGGGCACAAAATCTGGAAATGATTGATGAAGTGACTGTTCTACTAGTTATTACAAACTTCAATAACTTATTTCTGTCTTACCTCGTGTTTTGGTTTCTGCGAGTAGTCGCGGATGAGAGACTGAGCAAGCTTGTTCCTCAGAACTATACGATCCTCGGCACAAGGTAGGAAGATAAGAGATGAAAGATGGTGAAGAACCAGGGTAAACGCCATAGATCCCCTGGTTGCAGATCGGTCTAGAGCACCAGAAACCCATGACTTCACATAACCTTGAAGAACAGCTTCATTGTTCTGCAGCAGAAGAACCAAAGCAGATTACAACAGAGCAGTTGACACAAGAAAATGAGAAATGGATAGTTAGGGGTCGTTTGGAAGTTGTGATTGTTAGAGTTGTGTTTGTTGAATACATGTATTGTGCACAATACAATGTTTGGAAGAGCCAAAGTGTAAAACAATGCATGCATTGTTTTAGGTAGGTCCCGCCAACAATCACAAAAAATGATGCATTATACAATCTCAACTAAAAGTTGAGATTGTTGTGATTGTTGGTTTTAGATTTGTGTCAACTTTTTCTTTCCATTTATATCCCCAATAGTTTTTGTCTTATTCTAAAAGTTGAGGGTAAATATGACATTTCCCCATAAATGTAACTTTATGTAAATCAATGCATAAAGTAGAATCTCAACAACCAAACAATGTATTGTTAAATTGCATCCATTGTATCAATACATGCATTTATATTATGGTGATTCATTACAATGCAACGATTTAACATTCGCAGCTTCCAAACGACCCCTTAGTGTATGATAATTTAAAAGATTTTACCTCGACAGGTTCAAGGTAGCCTTCTGGCCTTCCAACGCACTTGTCCAGTGGTGGCAGAATCTCAAGAACACGAGCATTGCTTAGAACAGTCCAGGCAGCAAGTCTGACAGGAGTTTCAGTGCAACGATGTAGATAAATAGCAATCTGTCTACCAAAAATTATATCACCATAAGAGTCGGAAGCAAACTTGTCCACAAGAGCTTCCAGAAACGTGGTGTAGATATCAACAATCTCTGATTTGAACCTCAGAGATTCCACGGGTGTATCCTTCCTACTTTCATCAAGAACCTGACCATAGAGATTCTGCAAGACTTCGAAAATGTCTTTACTCCTGTCATCGTCCAGCACATCCATTCGGAAAAGTAATGCAGCTGACAAAGAATGCAACTTCCAGGCCAAAGGTGTGTCTCGAACAGGACACTTGGCATCATTAGGTAGAAGACTACACATTGCTTCTAAGCTGAGAAGAAAGAAGAGGCCGGACTTGACGACTTCAAGCGCATCATCGGTTGATTCTTTCTTCTCAGAGATTGGACTCAAAAACCAATGCATTGGAAGAGGCAGTCTCTGGCGAGCCCACTCAATGGTAAATGAAGTCGATGTACCGATGTCCTCTTCATGAATGGTCTCCAAAGAAGCTCTTTTACTAGTTGACTTATTTCCATCTAGAGGTTTGGATTTCTTCTTCTCAGATAACCATCTGCTTCTAAAGTGAGAAGATAGTGTCTTGCTGAACCGCTGATACTCCTCTTCAGTATATTGCCACAACAAAGAGCGTGTTCCTCCCTTGTTTGACTGAAACGAACGTTGAGTACAGACATTAAGATATTTAAGAACTTGTACTTGGAGTAAAGTATTGATCGCCTTTTCTGCAGTGTCTGTATCTCTAGGTCCAACAGTTAAGCATACTCTTAGCACAGAATTAATTCTGTGAGCTGTGGATGTCATTTCTCTATCCGCCACCAAATCTATGCTGGATACGACTTCAAGCAAATTGATTAGCAATTTTGCATCAGCCTGAGCCAAAAGAACAGCCAATGACCAAAATCCTCCACCAGAGGCACCCCATCCAAGTCCCACTCCGGGGGCAGTTCCTCCTCTACCAAATACCTCGACCGATTGCACAAGCTCCCATTCTTGAGCAACAAACTTAGTAAATGTATCAAGCAGATATCTTAGCTCAATCATAGATGTCTTCAACATTCCTTCTTCAAGCAGTTTCCCTTCTCTTGAGGAGCTGTGTCCTTGGGAAGTGGGTTGATCGATCCTGCTCTTGGCTGACTGGATCAAGGCATCAATGGAACGTACAAGTAGTAGTATGGCATTTAGACAAGACACAGAAGCTAATGATATTTCTTGGTTCTGTTGTCTCAATCTACACAGTTCCATTACGAAAGAGCTAATACCTCCAACATTCTCTTCTTGTCCCAAGAACCCGTTTTGTATGAGTTCAAGTCCAACCTTAGGAACAAACTCTGGAAGCCAGGGTACATGTCGGATATTATATTCCGGACTTCTGGTGTTGTCTGGTTTCACTCTAAGAAGTAAAGTACAAAGCATATGCATGACAGCAGAGTACACAGACAGCAAAGAACTCAATGATGAATCCTGGAAATCAGTCTCAGCCTTCACTCCTTTCGCCGACTCAAAGAGTTCAGAAATGCATGGATCAGTTTTCGACTTCATCCATTTTAATGCTAAATCAACAACTGGAGTGACATAGTTCCATGACCAAGATTCATGCTCGTCTGAGCTTCCACTGTGCGGCTGCTGTTTCTGGGAATAAAAGTTTGGGAGTTTTCTAGCCAGAGCTTCCAAGACAAGGTATGCCTCCTTTGCAATGGAAGCAAATTCACTGACAACATTTTTCTCCACTAGTTTCTCGAAACTAGATGGATTCAACCAAAAACACAGGGCTGGAAAGATATCGGGGAAATCCGATATACAAAACCCATAATTGATGCACACTTTCCAAAACTGCAGCTGTTCAACCTTCAAAGCAGATGAAAGCTCACAATTCTCCTTGCCTGACTTCACCCATTCATCAAGGGAGGAAGTGTACCAATAGAGGTATCGTGTCATAGCAGAGAAAGACCCATCGTTTATGAAGTGCAAACAGTTTTTCTTTTCTGATTGAGCTAACACCTGTATTTAAAAAATAAAGAGATATTACGTATTTGCATTCCATGACAAGCGAGAAAGTATCTTCACAGCTTACCTTCATAAGCCTAATTGACTTGATCTTTGAAGGGCGAATATTCATAGTGCTGTCCATCCCAAATCTTTCAACAACGGTCCTAACAAGACCTTGGCAGTTCATAATGATCGCTGCACATGTTGGAGAATGCCTTGCTAATGCAACGAGTATAGACATTATGCATTCTTCCAAAGCATCTGTAGGATTGGCCTGAATCAAAGTTATCGACATGGAGTTATATGTATGTAGCCCCCAATTTGAGACTAAAATCACGAACGAGTGTGATAGATATACTACCTCCAAAAGGTATCGCATCCTAGGAATAATATCCATCCTAACCAAACCAGCTGCTACGTCTTGGCCAGCAACAAAGATATCATCCTTAAGGGTCGGTTCCTCTTCATTTCCATCGTCCATCATTTCCTCAGCATAAGCTTTAAGATTATAAGGTTTTGCACTATACTTCCAAAAACCACCATGAAGGCAACCCCCATCGATCTCTGGTTTGCTTCGAAATACAGGGGCAGTGAAGAGATCCTTGTCATAAGTTCCTATTTTCTGAAAGAGCAGGGATTGAGATCAAGTAAATGATGGACAGATCTTGAAGGGAAGAGAATTGAAACGTAACTTTACCTCTGATGTCTGGAAGAAACTCTCATTCAAGTCATAACTGAGCACACACTGAATAACTCTTGCGCATGCTAAAACCACTGAACTATGGTTGTCATCAAGACAAATTCTACAGAGTCACAGAAGCACCAAGTCAGATACATAATACAAAAATCCAGGTGATTCAGAAATCCCAAACTAGAACAATGTGATCATCTCACTCACCTTAAAGCGAAGACAAGCTCAGGTTCAGGGCCAAGGGCATAAGCCCAAATAGCCTCCCAATCAATAGTTAACTTGTCTACTTGCTCAGCACTGCTTGCAGTACTCCCAACCTCCTTCTGTCGAATATTATGTATTGCTTTATTAAGCACAGATGCAAGGAGATTCAATGCAAGGCCGCGTTGTCCTGGTATCTGAAACGATCAAGATAATGCACACAGGGTTAAGATGTGTGAAGGCGGAAATAAGAAACACCCCATGTTACCTCTGTTTCTCTCTTTTTTCCCCTTAATAACAGAACATACGGGAGTATGCATTATTTTAACTAACCACACTTCTCGTCAATTGCACAGCTTCTTTAATCGAGTAACCAGCAGCTCCAGGGTCCCCATCGGTTCGTAGGTAGTCACGTTCTGCTAAACTATCAGCTTGGCCAGCATCATTGGGTATGTTACCTACAAAATGAAGCAGGCTTGTTAAAAGTAAAAACTGTCTCTCCTATGCAAACAGTGACCCTAAAGTGTGAGGCGCATACTTGTATGAATCAAAGAATAATAGAGCAAACACCACCCCATGCTTTAGCAACAGAAATTAAAATTCCTCATTCCAAAGAAGAAGACATTTGTATTGCATACCTAACATATTGGTAATTTAGGCAAAATGAAACTCCGCACAAAAAGGAAGAAGATATTTAGTGATTAACTCCAATTCAGCAAAAGCATGCAATGAACCAACACTTTGTAACCCCTAATCATGGTAAACACGTAGATAGTAGTATTTGGTTGGCCTTTGATTTACAGCATACCAAACATAATAAAGCAGTAAGTAATACTTAATGGCAGGCATTACTTCCATTAAGCATGACTAAGCCTAATACTTAACCTGCATTCGAAGTAAACGTAAGACACTACTATTATCTTGGAAGAGAATACACCCAATAAACATATAAGAAAAGAGATACAACAGTCAGATTTACCAGTCTCAAAATCTGCAGGGATGACATTCCCCTCATAAGAAAATCTTACTCCCCTAGCAGCCTCCACTCTGTCACTCCAAGCATTCCATGAAGTAGTGCCGCTAGGTGTTTCTGGATTTTCATTATTCCGGTTATGATTAGGACGATCATTTGCTACACGTGAATGAGCACTTGAATCTTTGATCGATGAACCATTAGCAGATTGACTTTTTATCGCCACATCTAAGTCTGAAACATTCTGCTGCTTCAATTTTTGTTGACCTCTCTTTTTCAGTAAGTTCAGCAGTGACGGATTCATCTTCTCCATTATCTCAGCCTGTGCTTCTGCAATCTCTCCAGATGACATATTCTGTAACCGAGCACGATTCTCCACATCGATCTCACTCTCAAGTGACATAGACCTTTGCGCAACTCCAGTATCATTCAATATAGAACTAGGAGCTCCATTTGAAGTTCCTTGCTCCTGCTTCCTCAGCTTTTCCGAGATCACAGGATTTCTCTTCTTCACTCTCGGAGGCTGCTCTCCTGTGAAATCAACTTCACCAGACAAGGAAGGCTCATCCACTTCAGTTGCGGGAACCGAAGAACTCCTAACGGGCACCAAGTCTACTTCCACTGGCGCCTCATTACCTACAGCGGACTTGCTATTAACATTTCCACCTCCTTTTCCATCCTTCTTCAGCTTTTTGGTACCCTTGTAGCGAAATCTATTCTCTTGCACCTTGCCCTCGTCCGGCGAACTCTCACGCGCAAGCTCTTTCCAACGACTAACATCCAAACCCTTCTTCTCCTTCCTCTCTACCGGATTCGCTAAAGCCGAAATTGGGTTATAATCAGTAGGATCATTATCCTCCTCTTCTTCTCCTCCTCCTCCTTCCTCGTCATTCCTGCCTTTCCCATTCCCTCCCTTCTTGCTGGTCATAGCATTCCAGTACTGCCAAATTCAAAAACCTCACACCTTCAGTTCACCATCCAATTCTTTCCTAAACTACGAAGCAGAAGACCATAAACAGCATAGAGTTACGGACTTACCGGCCCATGCGCGCGGTGGCGGGCGACGGGGAATGGCAGAACGGTGGGGCTAGGCGGCGGAATCGGCCGCAACGGCTTGATTAACTCGTTTTCCGAAATACCTTTCTCAACTATGCTACCAATGAAGCTCGAAGCTCCTTCGATCATAGCGTTCGCTCCAAGAACTCCAGCCGGGAACTTCTTCGTAGCTTTGCTCTGCGCTTCATTCTTCTTCCTGGTATCCATTAGAAACTTCCAGAATCGACAGAGAGCAGCAAACAAGTACCAGCCAAAAGGGGAACGCGAGAAGGGGAAGAAGAAGCTTTGCAGAACCGCCAGAGAGGGAAAGACCAAAGACGACGAAGAAGAAGCAGAAGCGCGACTATGGAAACGATGGGCCGAGAGTTTTGGGCTTTTAGGCCCAGCAAATCCAGACTATAGGACAGGGTGATTTTTTATTAACCTCGAAATATTACTGGATTTAACGAGAGTAAGATGAAAAACAGAATTTGTTCCGTCTTTCAAAGGCTCGAGCTTTTTTCCTTTTTCAGCAATGGCGGACTGGTCTCAGTTGCCGAGCGATCTCCTGGAGAGAATCAGCAAACGCCTTGATACTGCCACCGAAATCCTCCGATTCCGCTCCGTCTGCAACTCCTGGCGATCCTCCGCCTCCCCCTATGGTTGCCGTCTATCCAGAGCATTCCAAATCCTCCCCAGCGACGATTTCGTCAAGACCTCCATCGGATTCTACCTGTCGAAGAGGACCGTTTACCTCATCGGGCTGCCCGATTCGCGGCATCTCGGCGGCCGGCTGGTGAAGATTGAGGAGGATATTCCGAATAGAAAGCGCCTCCTGAATCCCCTTTCGAGGTATCCTCTGAAATCTCTCCCCGAGAATTTCCCTAGACTGCTGGACTTGAGGGAGGTTTTCGTGAAGGAATTAGGTCAGGAGTACGTCTTGCGTCACATTGGTTACATGCCCAATTCGTCTTCGTTTGCCGATGCTGGGGATCAGTATATGGAGAAGGTGGCGATGATGTGGTTGGATCCTGATTCCCAAAGAGAAACAAGTGAGTTCGTTCTGCTCACCACTCATCTGTCCGGGAAGTTAGCGATTTTCAGTAGCGCTGATAGGAAATGGACGATTACAGGAGAAACGGGTTCACCTTATGATAATGTGATTGTTCATAAAGGGAAGTTATTGGCAGTTGATAACACGGGCAAAGTTGTGAGCGTGAGTAAAGACGCCGACTTGACTCTTGTCGCGAATCCTGTGTTTGGCGGGGACAAGAAGTATTTGGTTCAGTCGTCGAAGGATCAGTTATTGTTGGTTGATATGTATCTGAGCATTGATACGGGGGAAGAGAATTTCGACATTGGGGAGGAGTTCATGGGTCATCTTGCACAGTACATGAGGGAGAGAAAGGTGAGGTTCAAGGTTTATAGGTTGGATGGAGAGGAGAAGACTTGGGTGGAGTTGGGAAGCTTGGGAGATACAGTGTTGTTCATTGGTGATGACTCTGTCTCGGCATTTGCTGCCTCGTCTTCTGATCTCTATGGCTGCAAGGGGAATTGTATATTCTTTGTGGACGATTTCTATTACGGGAGGGAGATTGGTGGACTGGGTGAGGAAGATGGGATGTGGGTTGCTGGTGATATAGGTGTTTTTGAGTTGGACACTGGTAGTATAGGGCCGTTGGTGAATTATCCAGAGTACTACAAGATCTTCTGGCAGCCTCCTGGACGGCTACTTTCACCTCCTTCAGAAGTAAGTGTTTGTAGCTGGATGTTTCTGTATCTGTATTCGTTGTTTCCTCTCTTTCGGCTTTGCTTGATTGTTGGAGTGGTATGTTCGATAGTCGATACAACTTGAAGAGATGGTTTCTGTTTCCAGCTTGTGGCCATTACTACCTTGTGCATGAATTGATATAATTTTCCGGGTTTAGTTTATGGTGTCTCTTGAAGGAGTCCCCAGATTATCGTCTCAATTCTCATTTGACTGTTGAAACAGGTCGATCTTGAAAAGCAAGCGGAAGGGTTGTCCCTGTGAAGTTGATGATCCCCTTTACTGTCCTGGTGGATTCATGGCAACCTATTTGATAGTTAAGACCAATGACTATCTGCGACCGGTAACTTTCCTATAATGACCACTTCCTCTGAATCAATTGACACTTATAAGTCTGACATTGCCCTCAAAGAACTGGGCTTCTCGTCGATGGTAGTGTATGTATACCATAATTGCAAACTTTGGAGCTGAAGAAGTATCTTCTCAGTATGGTCTTTATGATCCTCATTTCATTGATCAATTGACCTTCTCTTTCAAAAGCTGAATCTTCCGGAGTTAATCTGAGTCGCTGCCTGTCATGCTACATGTTTTGTACAGCAGAAACAGGCATTGTGTATAAGCTTGGGATCGTTTGATTTCTTGGCTATGGTTCTTTTCAAGATTTGTTTATTTCTTCCATGATAGATTATATCCTTCTGTAGTTATTTATCTGTAACCTACTTTTTCGTAATAAATCTGTACAGACCTGCGAGCATTCTGCTGGCAAATAGAAACAAGAATGTTTCGATATTTCTATGTCGAAGTTTGGTGCTTGAATATGCTTTGACTGCTTGTGAATTTTAGGCTTTAAGAACAGGGGAGACACTTTCCAAATTGGCATGAGAAAGGCTAAATTAAGGTAGGATAGAGTTATAACTTACAAGTCAATAGAGATAGACAGGAGTAAACCTATTTCCTCAACTAGAAGTAGATAAGGAAAAGGGACATGACCAAAATTTTAACAAGGTTCTTCTATTACTAAAACATATACAAGGTTAGATACTACCACCAATTCTACTACCCATCTATCCATTCTTCTACTATAAACTATCATCGAGGCATCACGAGGAGAGTGATTCGGCAGAATCTTCGAATACTTTGCAAGTTGTCAATCTCTCTCCGGGGCATCTCCAGAAGAAACTCTCCGTGCACTCAGGTTGCCAGTGTAAGTCCAAATCTTGTCATACTCCAATGGGAATGGCTTCCCTAGCTTCCGATCCTCTGGATTGCTTCTGTTCAACACCTGCAGTTGCCTTTCTGGGCTGCCACCCAGTGGGGTCGACGAGCAGAAAGTCGGGGTGGCAAATGGAGAAGCAAACGGGCTGTGCTGGATCGAGAAGGGGCTAGGTGACATCCGCTTCTGAATGGGGAGTCCACCTAAACCGCCTCTGTTGAAGACGGAAGCAGCTGCAGCTTCTTCTGCAACACATTGCTTTGTGGCATCGTCCACAAAAACAACATCGTCGATCCTCGCCATGATGTTGAATGCTAAGCTCTCCATCACTCTCGAATAGCTTTCCAGAATCGACTGCCCAACATCCTGCAATGAAAGAGAAGTGGCAAACCGCTTTCAATAATCGAGAGTATAGATATCCATGAATCATTTCAAGAAGAGTAAGGTGGATGGAAGCTGAATATACCTTGTTGTACTGAATCTTGTTCATGTCTAGGGCAGTCTGTGGGAGACCTGGAAAACGTAGGTGCAAGCAGAGCAATAAGGTCTCTGCCCGTTGAGCCAAGCAATGCTTCTTTTCGCCATTAGCAACAACCAGACCCTTCACCTTGCTTCCTAAAGTTGAACGCCTATGATCTTGGATTCGAGCCTTGGAGACATCGACCAAAATAGATGGATGATGCTTATGACCTCTCGGAAGACCTTTGCTGTGCTTCTTCTGGTCCTTCCTCTTCCAAACATGCAATGCTGCTTCGATCTTGTTGGCAATTTCAGTGGCGAGATGCTCCGTCGTGACATCTAGGTGGTCGAGAAGAGCTTCCGGCGAGAAGTGCTCAGCCGTCACGTATCGGTAAATGACATCACCCAAACAAGCTCTGCCACTCTGGTTAAAACCAAAATTGTTGTTCAAAACCAATTGAGCATGAGTTTAAGAAACAATAAAAGAACGAAACTTTGGCCAACTACCTTTGGTAATGTCTCCAAGTATGCAGCAGGAATTTCCATCTCAGCAAGCACACTGCTATTGATCGCCATGGCAGCCTTCAGAATCTGATTAGTGCAATCCCTAAACTGCTGCAACTTCTTCCTCGCCTCTTCCGAAAGCCCATTTGGAGGCACTTTCGGACAAGGCAGCCACCACTTCTCTTCCTGTCGAATCGAAGGCCGACCACCGGAGAAACCAGGCGGATACAAAACATCCTCATCCCGCTCCTCCGCCACCACGATCCCTCGATCGACGTACCAGAACTCTGTCTCTCTGAACTCCTCGAGCATCCCGATCAACATTGCATCGAGCTTCTTCAATGCCGGGAGGTTCATGTACAGATCCGACCGAGGTCGACTTGCCATGATCTCGTATGTGCCCCCGCCGGGGAACTTCTGAATCGAAGGCACGAGCTCGACTATGGAATCGCTCACGCAGAGCAGCCACTCCATTTCTCTCCGCCACATTGATTTCTTCTGCGTCGCCAGTGGCTCTAGCCTCCATAGCTCGCCGAACACAGTAGCTGATCGGAAGAAACGGAAGAAAGAAAACCCATCTTTAGAAACCCCCGAATAAGAAGAAGACGAACTGGGTAAAGAAGTAGAGAGAGTGGAGAGTGTCGAACCAGAGAGATTGGTAATGGCGTTTGAAATGGCGAGTGCGGTGCAGACTCCTTTCCCACTCCCAGACATGTCTTCCCCCAATAGCAGCTTTGCAAATCTCTCCATCATCATTTCAACCTCTGCGCACAAATTTTTACCAGAGTCACAAATCAGATCCCCATTACTCCTCTTAACCTAATAATAGTTCTGGAAAAGAAACTCGAATCTCGGAAAACTGAAATCTTCTCAACCAAAAGAAAATTAGGAGGCGAGGATAAGATTTGTGGTTTCAAAATGTACCAGACAAATCGCCGTCGCCCCGCTTATGAGCTTTCCCGTCCCAACCCAGATCCTTCCCCACGCTGCCGATGACAGGCAGCATCAACCCCGCCGCCGGGAAGCAGATATTTACTCCTCCGCCGGCGCGGGGAGACGGGGTCATGGAGCAGGAAGCACCCTCGCCGCCGTCGAACCTACGGCAGGAGAAGCTGCTGCAGCTCTCCGACTCGCTGACGTCGGCGCTCAAGCTGTAGCTTCCGCATCTCTCCTCGCTCTCGTCCGATGACATGCTCGCCATCGATCTCCGGCGAGGTTAAATAAACCGGGGGAAAAAAGTAACCCAAACGAACAAAACCTCTCTATCTGTATCTGTTAAACCTCAGCCGCAGCACATTCTCACATTGTCTACTGAATCGGGAAAAGGGAAACGAAGAAGAAGAAGAAGAAGAAGAAAAGGAAAGGGAATGCTCTCTTCTCTTCTTCTCCACCTGCAGCTCTCGGATTTGGGATTTGCAGAGAGAAAAAAAAGGCCACTTCTCGTTTCCTTTTTTTTAGCCACTGAAATTTTATTTTATTAATTTTTAAATTCATTTTACTGCCTCGGGGCAGGCTGTCTTTTCCGTAACAAGAGGGCTTCGAATCGCAGCCCCGACAGTCTTCCTTTTCCTGTGGGCCCCCCACCACCTTCCCTCCCTTTTTTTATCTTCCCGCTTTTTCTCTTTCTTCTTCGGCTTTAATTTATTTACTAGCGTGGCCCCGGCCATTTGGCCGGAGGAAGGTGAGGTATGACATTGATAATGTAGTGGGGTAAATAGTTTATTGTTGTATAGTTTTTTTTGGAAACACGTGATAAAAATAGTGAATTTTAGTAGGAAAGAGACATGAATGATGCAATGAATCAAAAATCAGCCTTATGAACCAAAATCAAGTACTTGTTACCTTGTAAAATAATATTGTTTCTGGTAATATGATGAAGTGGAGTAAGTTTTATAGAAACCGAATTCCAGAAAATCGAATAAAAAATCGCCTATCCCGTCGGTTTTCGGGAAATGAGTATCTCACAATCGTTGCTAGCTTTTACTCGGCCCGTTGGCCGATTAATTTGCTTTATAAAACTTTCATCTTGTCATCATTGTGCTTTCTGGTTTTTTGCCAAGCCATGATAAAATCTAAAGAAATCAAGAATGAACAACACGATTTGGGATAGGAACCACCGTTCCTGTATCCCTAGAAAATGGTGGTGAACACGGAATCACCTACCAAACTGGTTTGGATTGAGATTTTTATCGGGTATCAGGAAACCATGTGACTATAAATTAGACTTGATCAAGGGGCCAAAACTTGAAATTCAGCCTGTTTGACCGACCTATGCCAAACTCTAATTATTCTTTACTTTTAAACTTTCTATTTGAAAATAATGAAAAAAAGAGATGACTGCAATTGGTCATTTGCACATCACTAATTCGGGAATAAAACTATAGAATTTCGAAAGGAAACTGAAAATATTTAGGATTGTTTTAATGTTAAAAATAACCAAATAGATCTTTCTGTTTAGTTTTTTACTAACAAATACCAAACGATTCCCTATAATATACACTATAATTTAATCATTATGATATCAAGCAATTACATAATATATATTTGAAATGATAAAAATTGGACTAATTGGGTTGGTCGAGGTTGAACCATTGAATAACTTTAAAATCCGCATGTGTACGGTAAGTTGGCCCGTTCCACAGAGGAAAAAGAAAAAAAATTGACACTCCCTATTCTATCCTTCCTACAAACGCTCCTAGAGCAGGGAATTTGAAATGGGGGAAGGGTTTTTTCCTTTCTACGATTATATGTTTTTAATTTAAAAAATACAACAAATGTACTTAGTGTGATTGGTTATGATCTTTGCTTTTCTTTAAAGTGGTCATGGTTCGAATCCTAGTAAGTGTCTTTTTAATGAATAAAAAAAAGTAATTGTGAAGACCAAAATGTCCTTCCTACTTTCACTCTGGATGCAGGAAATTTGAAATGGAACTTCAAATTTTCTCATTTGGCTTTTATTTATTGTGTAGATTATTGGGCCACGTGGCGGAGGAAGTTCTGACGTGGCTGCGGCGGGAGAGGGGGAGGGATAGGAAGGGGACGGTCTCAGGTTAGTGATGAATGGGCTCGGGTTACGAAGGGCTTGATTTGGGCTTTTTTTAGTGTAATTAAGAGGTCTGACTTGAGTTGACTGACTCCATCATATCCTCAAAATTTTCAGTGCGCATTAATTAAACTGCTGGTGTTAAGGTAAAGAAAATATTAAAAACTAGGATGATTAGTATGAAAAGAAAAGAAGTATCTTGGCCTTCCTCTAGTTTGAATTTTCCCAAAATTTTCATCAATCCTTATTTACTTGTTCCATCCACTTTGAACTAATTAGTTTGGGAACTCGTTATTTTTTATGGAATAGTGTGGTGGTGAAAATCATACGATTTAAGAATATTCATGATCTTTTTATTTTCCAAAACAAAATTTAAGGATTTTTCAAAATCAAGATGATTTGAAAATTTGAATTTGTGAATCTCCTTGTTTCTAAAATTTTCATACTCTAGGTTTGTCACGAATAAAATGTTGTTCACATATAACCTATTTAGATGATTCGTTGCGACCACAGTGCATCATAAGTATGGGAGTGTAAGAAGATCTCGTAATACTGGCCAGAAACTTTGAATATCAAGTCATCCTAGAACGAAACGAATTAAGAAAGTGACTTTATTAATTAGTCTCGCGACTCTTTTCGCTGACAAATCTCGAGTATGAAAATTTTGGAAACAAAGAGATTCACAAATTCAAATTTGGTTGGTCCTTTATAAGTTATAACCCCTTATCTCTGGATGCCTTATGAGGTAGTTGTTAGTTGCTACTAACAAAATATACATGAGGATTATATTCAAATTCTAAAAAATCTCCTTAAATCCCAAACCACAATGGTTGTTGCTATTGCAAAAGAAAGCAAATATATATATATATATATATAATATATATATATATATATATATATATATATATATATATATGGTGACTTCTACGGTGCCCAGGGCAAAACCCGGGTACGGGTACCTTGGCCGATCTTCACCGTTCGTTTTCAATCTCCACGGCTCACGTTTGTTAAACCTAGCTGCGCCACTAAATAACTAAACAAATTACAAAAAGCCTCCTCCGCGTTAAGTTAGTTTTCATCCTAGTCCAACTAATTGCCCCGTTTAAATTAAATGGATTAAGACCCAAACCCAATTGGGTAGACCCACTGCCGCCCAAACCAATTTCCAGTCTCCCTAACCAATTACACGATCCCTATCTCGTCTTGGAGGGACGCCCCTTCACAGTTCCAAGAGAAGCCCCCCATCCACATTCGAAGTAGATTGAATTTCCCAAAAATAATTTGTCTTGTTTCTTCTTCGCCATTGTATTTCCCCTCGCCTATCTCTTTCTAACACGATTACGGCGACCATGTCTATTATTGTGTTCATCGAACTTTTCATTTGGAAAAGAACCCTTGAAAGAGGTTTGCTAACCCTAGGGTTCATGTCACTAGTGCTTTGTCATCTTGTCTTAGCGTTATTGTGATTATATCTCTCGGTGAAATTAAGGTTTCCTGATATGCAGTGTTCGTCTCGCCCAGAGGATTGAGGAAGGAGATGAAGAAGACCTAATTTGATTCGAATCAGATGGAGAGGTCTCCTTAATTTGTGTTTATGTATTAACGCTGCGTTTAGGACTAATTCTAGTTGGACTGGGTCTGATCATTGATTTTTGCAGGCTTTTAAATAACATTCAAACGTGGGCTTGTACATGACCCATGAAATATTCAAAATTGGGCCTGGAACGTGCGAGCCCATTAGTTTTCTCCTGCGGTATCAGCGCCAACCCTAGTTTAACTAGATTTAGTTACCCTAGTTTAACCTACACGAGTTAACATCATCATTGCTACATATCTTCCCAAATCTTCTAACTCTTGACATTCCAGACTCAACCGTCTCCATCACACGTCTCCACACTCAACCCCCACTTTTTCTTACACCTACAATCTCTCTTTCCCTACAATTTTTTTTTCCCTCCATATCTTCACCTTCCCTTGTTCCTTCTTCCTCCGACTCCATGGCAAACATGGGCATTCTAACTCTATCAAACGACGACTGCCGAACCACCACAAGTCTCGCGGACTATCTTTCATTCACGAGCAAGACGACTATTGTGGCCGAGTACGAGTTCATCAACATGAGTCCTTTCCCTCAAGAAGTTAAGAAGTTAATTAAAAATCTTGGCTGGGAAAAGTTCTTCGATCTCCGGAGTCGAGGAAGCACCAGTTACTGCCCGCATGTGGTGAGGAAGTTCTACCACAATTTAGAGCTGTCTGGTCCCTCCGATTCTCATCTCGTGTCGGTCTTCCTGGGTCATAGAGTCTGCTTCCAGCCTCATCAGTTTGCTGAGATCCTCGATCTCCCCGCCGCAGGACACCACATTGATAGCAGAAGCGATCTTCGGCGGCTGTACGATTTTGATTTTGAAGTTGAACTGGGGAAACTGACGAATGGGAAGATCCAGGCTTCTTACCTCCCAGATCCTCTTCGATTCCTCCATTGGATGATCGTCAACTGCTTCATGCCAAGGTACAGAGGTCATTCAATAATTCGTACACTTGACCTGTTTATCCTTGTGCAAGCTCAAAGAGGTGTTCCTCTTAACCTCGCATCTCTCATGTGCGTGAACATGGTTGAGGCGGCTCCTAGAGGGGAAAACTGGTACACTGCCTTTCCATATGCCACCTTCTTGACCACCTTTCTTGGAAGGGTTGGGATGGATATGGGGGTTTATGCTAGGGAGGACCATTCCGCCTATTTGCCAGTCTACCGTATCGTCGAAGTGACCAATACTTTTCATGAACTTCGGCATACGGAGGATGAAGCGACCCCTGAGGCATCCTCAAGCAAACGTCCTCGGCTTACATGAGAGTCGATTGATGCAGGGCGGGGTGGAGCAGTGCAGGGCGGGATGGAGCAGTGAAGGGGCCAGCATTGGATGTGTTTTGTTAAGGCTTCGTTGTTTTGTTTTTTTTCCAGTCTTTTTCTCCAGCACTCAAAACTGTCAGGTACTGAGGGGAGCCAGTACATCATCTGACTAGGAAAGTCTCCCATTTTTTTAATTATCCAGACAAATATTTTTCTATGCATGCAGTATTTTGTGAATTTGCCATGGCTAATTTCCCTAAGACAGGTGACGAGATGCAGTAATGGTCATCCCTAAGCAAGGAGGTGCAATTGCATCCTACACTTGCTATGATGTGAGAAGCTATTGCAAGGGTGCAAATTTGGTTGCAATTGAAATTGGCCCACGAGTGGGGACTATTGATGAAATTGCAATGTTTTGTCAAAATTATAGAAGTGGAAGTAGGGACTACCTATGAAATTGCAAATGAATTTCATTGGGGGAGATTTTAATCCGCTTTTGTTCTAAGCAGTTCCAATTAGGTTGATTATAATGATTTTTTATCTATGGTGATTTTTCCCCCTTTTTCATCAAGACTCATGCTTCTTTTATCCCGCTGTCGATCTATCATGCTTCGTTTATAGTAAAATATCCTTTTAATTATACACAATAAAGAATCCATTAATTATGTATGCCTTTTCATTGTATTTATTACTACAATGAATTCTCTGACTAAAAGTGGAGTGAAAACATCGTTGGTGGAAATTCAAGGA